TGTGGCTGTCGGGGTATGTGGTTTAATATTATTGGCATGTGTTGCCTAATTGACATACTCGGTATATTTATTAATATTATTGGCATGTGTTGCCTAAATTGACATTCTCGGTACATTTATTAATATCGTTGGCATGTGTTGCCTAATTTATATGCTCAGTATATTCATCAGTACTTTGCGAGGTGTTATCACTGTGTAGTTCGTTATAGTCTGTGTTGTCAGTACCGTACACCATGTATAATAGCTGATTTCCCGGGTAGGGAAAGGCGACACTTAACCACCTAGTGTGAGTCTAAGTGATCACCGTCTATTCTGGTTGAGGTCATGTTATACATCGGATAGTTCCCGTAGGATGTATACAGATATAGTACTCAACCGATTCATAATGATTAATTTATTGGATTCTCTGATTTGGGTCATAGTAGAGAGGACTTGCTCGTGGGGTTGACCCACCATTGTTGTTATTTCAGGATACGGTCAGTATCCGTTTCAAGGCTGAGGTTAGCAGTGTGGGACCATCATCCGAACTCATCTACTCCTACGATCCAGTGCAGGGTAGAAGTTTTATGTAGTATTTCAGTTTCAGTTTTTATTTACTTTTGACGTTGAACTCTCAGGGTTATATTTAGGGATCCCTGACGTAGGATTTCCAAGTTGTAATGAAGTACTGTATTAAATAAAGGATGGATGGATGTTGTATTATTTAATGTTTCTTTCCTGTCTAAATTCTTTTATTTCCATCATTTTGTATTCCATGCTTGTATATTGCCAATTGTTTTTGATATCCCTCGTTTTTCGTGTATAAGCCTGATCAACTTATGCGTGGAAAATGTGGGGGTGTTACAGGGCATATATATATGCATATAACGTATACATTTATTATGTGATATATAATATATTTAACATATGATAATTTATTATGAATAAAAAATGTTAAATTATAGAAAATATACATTGTGTTATAATATTGTAAATTAATTATAATTTAATAGTTACATATAATATAATATAGATATGGTATATAATAATATAAAATATTTACTGCATAATAATTTAATAACATTGTATTCTATATCAAAAATTATTTTGTCACAAAAAATAATTTACATTATTATTTAATATATTATATATTAAAAGTATATATTTTTATTAACAGTTAAAATACAACTTAGTATATAACGCAAATAATATGAATTTTATTTGAAATGACTAGTGTTCGTGTAGGAACAATAGTGAAAACGTTTATGCATTATAGTGCCGAACATAAGAGACATCTTTTTTATGTTTCATCTTTTCCTCACAAAATTTGAAAACATTCTCTATTATAGAAAAACAAAAACATATAATTGAACGTGATTTTTGTTTTTGTTTTGCCATTTTAAGAGTTGACAACAGAAAACAAAAAAATACGTTTTTTGTTACTAAACGCGGCCCTAATCACTCCACTATTATCTTTCTTAAAATATTTCCAATCCGATTATATATAAACCATTCGTTGATAGAAACAATAGACATTCAAGCTCTATTTGTTTCGATGTAAAATATATTTTTTTTTTTCGGGTAAAATATTTTTTTATTTTTACTTTTTCGGCATTTAGCAAAGGTCTATGTCGAGATTAAGGCCGAATTCATCGATTAGGATATGTAAATAATTTTTTGAAAATTAATGGATAAGTTATTTTTGTTAGATTTTATTTTATTTTTCTCTTCGTAAATATTTTACGACAACCAAATACCAAAAAATAAAAATATATTTTTTAACATCAAAACAAACGAAGCCTCAATTAAGAGTCTCTTACTTTTCTATGTGAAAATTTATCATACCTAGGTGAAAAATTATGGAGTATTTCACATGACCCATCTAACGTGGAAAAAGATAATAATAAATAACTGGGAGTAATAATTAGTAATTACAAGAGGATGACTTAATCAATCATTTCATATCTTAGCTTCTACACGATGGACAAACTAAATTATTTATGTTGTACAAGCAATAATTAAGTAGTTTAGGCTAATCTTTGTACAACATGAGTATATGATTGTGTGGGAATTAATCGGGTGTGGAATAAATTATTTTCTTTTGTGTAATCTATCAAAATTGTATAAATAAAAAAAAATGGAAGAAAAAAAAATAAAAATAAAAAATAAAAATTATCAACGCCTAGCTAAGGAGCTATCACGGCACCTTACTTTTCTTTATATTTTAATCGACATACATCACTGACTTCAACATCTCATTTGAAGAATGATTCCATTTTAACTTTATAACGAGTGACAAATATAATTCATTTATCATTTTTTTTTTTTGATAAGTATAATTCATTTATCATTTTTGTGTGATTCTTCTTTCTTCTTTTGTTTTTTTCAATTGACATAGCACTCATGTGACTGCATTTTTATCTCTTCATACTTGCATTAGAGAGAGTAAACTTTTAGTGCTTGAACTCTCATCCTTCCATTTTGGAGCCGGTTGGATAAAATGAGACAAGCTAATAAAATTTTTTGTGACAAAAAAATTACGCATGGGTCAAAAGAAATTTTTTATATGATCGTTGTTACACCAACTATGTCGTATCGAGCGGAGTGTTTAGCCCTAAAAATTAAACAAGAACAACAACTCCGTGTAACGTTACTTTCTCGCATTTCAAAATAGAAGGACGAGAATTCAAATCTTTATAGAGGCAAAGTATTTGAGTTTCTTGCCCAAGGCAAAAAAATAAATAAAAATGAGTGAGTGGAGTGACTAAAAGAGATATGATCACTAATGATAGTAAATCAAGAAATTTATGTGTAACTCGTTAATAAGAAAGTAAGAAAGAGTAAACTTAGATGGTTTGAACATATATATTGAAAATCGTATCCATCAAACATGAATGACTAATTGTAATAGAAAGTTTAAATCAAATAGGACAACTAAAAATATAATATGTGCAATGACATTAAGGCTGCGTTTTTTCGAATGTAAAATACTTTTATCAAAAAAGATTTTTTTTTTTTCAGGTAAAATATATATATATTTTTTTTACTTATTCAGTGTTTGGCAGAAGTTTAGATCGAGGTTGAGATCAAGTCCATCGGACGTGATGTGGAAAATAACTTGTTGAAAATTGATAGTAAGTTATATTCTCTGTTACATGAACTCTTTCAAAAATAGTGAAATAACCGTATCGGACACGTATCCCTCGGACATGGGTATGGAATATGTGTCCGAAACTTTTGGTTGGACATGTACTTAAAAAGCATATCCAATCATTCAATTACATTATATTATTACTTTAAAATGAGTAAAATGTTTATATTGAAACATTATATTAGATAAAAACATTATTTTATTTTAGAAAATAAAATAAAATAATTAATAAAATGAATATTTAGCCGTGTTCGTGTGTCATTATGTTTGAAGATTTGACATGTTTGACGCATGGATATATACTCGCGTGCAACACCCATACCCTAGTCCATGTAACATAGGCTATATTTGTTAGATTTTAATATATATTTTTTCGTAAATATTTTACGACAACCAAACACCAAAAATAAAAAAAAAATATTTTGCACCCAAATAAATGAGCCATAATATAAAATATTAGAGAGAATTTATATGGCCTAATCTTATTCAAATAGGATTAAGACAAAGATATGGCGACCACCACATAATGTGAGTAAGTGTCTATTTGGGATTACTTCTTTACAATTAAAAAGCGTTTTAAAAAAATTGCAATAAGATGTGTTTGCTGACTATAAACGTGCATTTAGTCCATAGGGATTTTCTATTAAAAAAAACACATTTACTTGAAGCCAAAAATCGTAACTTTTATAATTGTGTTCTTAGCAGAGTTAGGTAACTACTTGTTTTTTGACAATTGAATCCCTCATTTTTTTTACAAATACAATTTTATCCTATTTTATCATTTATTGATCTGCATCACTGTCATTGTTCGCATAATATCTAATAAGCTCACACAGACACTATTGCCTGCATAGAGTGAAATCAGTAATCATGCAATGTTAATCAACAATCATGCCATGTGAATGAATCACTCACATTAATATCATAGAATATTGTTATTAGTGTATGTCTAATATAGTAAATTAGTAATAAAAATATTTTAAACAACATTATTACCAAACAAATTTAAACGTGCTTTAAGGATAAAAAAGTACTTTATAAAATGTATCACCAAACACATAATATGCTTTTTACTGCTAACAATTTTGTGGCAACTCTCCTGTTAAAAGCTCTTTTATCTTCAAACAACAATCCGAAACGGGCTCTTAAATGTTGTACTCCAACCAAGGGACAAGGACCCTGCTTTGATTGGGGTACCACATAATAAATAAGTTAAACTACATTAATTTTTTTACTTCTCTTAAGATTTAAACAAATTATACACGCATCGATCCGTTCAATGTTATTATTTTGACATTATCTGATCCTCAATGACACCTTTTTAGTATTTTCATTTGTTGATCAAGTTTTATAATTGATAATTTTGCCCACCTTGATATAAAAAGACAATAACACTAAATAATACTAACATTTCCTAAAATTTAGATAAATTATAAACGGATCACATGAATTTGATGTTAACAAATATTTGTAATATAATATAATAAATAAATAAATAAATATATTATAATATAAGAGGATTAATAGCATTTCACACACAAACTATTGTATACTTGCTGGTTATGAGTCATGAAGTTATGATGTGGAAGCTCTCATGAGCTCCTGCCTTCGTCAGTGTTGGAATTGCATGGTTTATGATGTCCTTCACAATATTGAAAGATGTCATGTTGCAATCTCCAAGGCATATTCCTTTTATCATCGCATCTCTCTTGCAAAAGTTAATTTCAGAAATTTGTAACAAATTGTATGTGTGAAAACACGCGCTAGATGCGAGTGGGCTGTAAAAGTCATAAACTAGAGAGTTGAAAACCAGATCAACGGTTACAACACGGCAACCTCATGAATAGAGAAGTGGGAAAAAGCTACAGTAGTAGGTGATATATATATGTATGTACATAGCATCTTCCCCACCATTTCCTTCGTTTTGGTCCCTATGTTATTTTCGTTTCACAATTGAAAGAAAAGAAACCCTAATCGACCCTTTTCTTGATCCGTAGAGAGAGAAACTCCTCACAATTTTCCATGGAACTGAAAACAGTTCTATTTCTTGCGTTTGTACTTTTCACAGTCCTCTGTTCTTCGCCGGCCTATGCTGGCGACATAGTCCACCAAGACCCTCTTGCCCCAAGAAAGCCTGGCTGTATGAACAACTTCGTTCTGGTAATAAAACCCTAATCTTTTTTCCATCAATTCCTCCTATTTCTCTGCCATATATATATGTAGTGTTTACTTGATTTGTTTGTTTGTTTTTTTTTTTTTTTTTGAAAATTGTTTTCTTGAAGTTACATTGTTTAGCTGGTACGGCAGTCCCAATGGAAGAAACTAGGAGTAGTTCATTATGATCTGGGTGTCCATTTTGTTGATTTTGAAGGATTTGAAATGAATAAAATTATATTCAATAATTTAGAAGATCATGGCATAAATTTATAGCGAGTTATTTAGGTTTAAGTTTAACACTATGCATATATTTATTTGAGAGCCTTATATATATGGATTTCAAATAACCAGGCGGTAGGAATTATTTGAAATCCACGCCGGCAAGGATTCTTAACTAACTGAAGAAGAATTGCAATGAAGGAATGAAATTACATTCAATCATTTAGAAGATTATAGCATAAATTTATTTGGCAGTTATGAAATTGAGCTCATTGATTGCGTAATGAATATTGTTCCTTTTGTGATCTTTTTTTTGGGGAGATTTTGCAAGTATACGACACTCTTAATGCAAATATTTTGCACTCAATTTGTAGAAAAGTTACATTTTTGTTTGCTTGCAGGCGCGGAATCTGCTGTTAGATTTGTAAATTAAGTGACATTAAGCATGTAATCATCGATTGGTATGCATCGAAGCCATGTTTTTGCATTAGATGACGGAAGTGAAACTTATGGACCAAGTAGTTAATTTTTTTCCCTGGTGTATAGCAGGCAATCAATTGCTGCATATAACCTCCCTTTTTGGAATATCTAACTTTCTTGTTGTTTTGACTCTTTGCCTCATCTTCCTAGATCTTTTTTTTTTTTTTTCTTTCTTAGGTTCTCAGACGAAGGAAATATTTCTTATGTCTTTTCTCTTTCTTTATCACCCTTAATGCGATTTCTGATTGTAGTTCAATCCGGTTCGCTTTGATAGGTAAAAATCCCAACTTTAGTTGATGGTGTAGAAGGTGATGAGTTTGTTGGGGTTGGTGCTCGATTTGGACCTACATTAGAATCAAAGGAGAAGCATGCTAACCACACCAGACTTACCCTTGCAGATCCTCCTGATTGTTGCAGCAAACCCAAAAATAAGGTTTCCTTGTTTCGTCTTCCTAAATGAACAACCCAAATTCTACTCATAGATACATGTCACTCACAAGTGAAACATGTATTCATTAGGTTCAAAGCTTAATTCTTTCAAATCTTGTTTCTTCCTGTCGGTAGCTTACAGGCGAGGTCATCCTGGTACACCGGGGTAACTGCAGTTTCACAACCAAGGCAAATGTTGCAGAAGCTGCTGGTGCTACAGCCATCCTCATTATAAATAATCGTACAGGTATGTGCGTTCACTTGATAATTATCTCGATGACTTTTCAGATTGTTGGTCCATTGCAGTGTCCTATATGGTCAAATACTTACCTTGCTTGATAGTTGATACAATGAAAATAGTGAACACCACTGATATCTGAAAGTTGTGAGGCAAACTGTTTTGAGTAAAAGTGTAGTTTCTATTGGTAAGCAAATTTACAAGGAAGGGGAGGTCAATTTGGAAGGGACAGTGGAGGCAGGAGCAATCCTCTGTTTCTGTCATGGTTTTAACAATCTATTTATAACTTCTTGCAATTGGCCATTTCGTTCGTACTAAAAAATCTGGTTAAAGATTCTATCATTTAGGATGCAAATAAATATGTGAGTAATTATTTGCTTATCAAAAAAATTATTTATGCAGAAAAGAGAATGAGTAATTGAGATCAGATCTATTACATTGAATATCGTCTTATAAATATAAGCAACTGTACATGCTGTAGAAGAACCCGTTGTTGTAATGGCTGTCCGTAATGAAAATCACTAAAAGCATTGAAAATAAAATTACTCTGACTATGTGATATGTGTTATTTGGAATTTATTTTGCAGAACTTTTTAAGATGGTATGTGAAGCCAATGAAACTGATATAGATATAGAAATACCTGCCGTCATGCTCCCACAAGATGCTGGTGCAAGCTTGGAAGAAAGTATTAGGAACAAATCCGCTGGTAAGCCTTACTCTACATAGTTTCTAAATGATTCTGATTATATAAATCTAAGTCAATATCACATTTGAGTAAAATTCTTCTGATGCTTTAAAAGACAGTTCCGATCTCAGGTTCCGATCTATATTCTGTCCGCATATGTTTACTTTCTTTGCATTTATTTTTACTGATACAGCCCCTTCCATCAGTTTCTGTGCAGCTATACTCTCCAAAGCGTCCGCTGGTTGACGTAGCTGAAGTGTTTTTATGGCTTATGGCTGTTGGTACCATCTTAGGTGCATCTTATTGGTCTGCATGGAGTGCTAGAGAAGCAGCTATTGAGCAGGATAAGCTTTTAAAGGTTACTTATTTGTGGATATTACCCTAAATTTAATATTTCAAAAAGGTTCTTCTCATATGTGGAGCATGAATACTTTGGGGTTGGGGGAGAAATTACTCATCTATAGATGAATTGGTGGACTTTATGGGTTCTTTGGGACCATAGGTCTTTTCCTCGTTTCTTGTTTCTGACTTCTGTACAGCTCTTGGGACGTGATCCCCTTTTGAACGCTTTCTAATATATCTTTACTTATCGGAAAAAAAAAAAAAAAAAGAATACTTGCCGGACATCAATGCTTCTTTCATTTGATATATTGATTGATGTTGTTTTTGTAGGATGCATCAAATGATCTTTTAACTACAGATGGCACTGGTTCTACTGGCGTGGTGGACATTAATACGACATCAGCAATTCTTTTCGTTGTGGTTGCTTCATGTTTCTTGGTTATGCTTTACAAGCTAATGTCACGCTGGTTCATTGAAATTTTGGTGGTTCTATTCTGCATTGGCGGGGTAGAGGTGCGTCTGTCCTTCATATTACTAGATTTTGTATCATGCATAGTGACCAGTACTTGACATTGTACATAAACTTGAATTGGATCTCCATTGCTAATAAGTGTGGATAAACCAGTCTTAGACTTACTGAATTCAGGAGTATACCTAGTAATGGCAGAATAAGGGTTTGTTCATCCTTTCCTAGCATTAATGCCTCCCCTTTCATAAACATGTGCATCTATTGAACTTATCCAATTTTCTTGCAAAATTTTGTTGCTACAACTCACAATTCTAAAAAACTCTTTTCTTGGTGGATTGTTCCAAAGTCTTAGTTGTTGACCAACTTTTATTTGTGCATTCTTTCTCTAAACATTACGTTTTATGCTTAGAAGCATGAGTGTATGCTGACCAATGTAAGGAGATTTTCTTTCCCAGTCTTTCTTATGCCACTTGAGAGACATGTTAGCTACTAAATCCTATTTTTGAAATAAGAACCTTTTTTCTGCTTTTCACCTGCTATCTTAGATATTTCTTACCTGTTTTGGGAATTGAAACCAAATCTAAATCTGCACCCACGTGATTGTGTCTGGAGGTCATCATTCTGGATATATTGGACAGCCATGGATATTTCCTTGTTACACAGGTGGACCTGTACTTTTTTATTTTTATTTATGTGTCAGTACCAAAGGTCTGAAACAATAGTCTCAAGCACCTTCAAATGTGGGAGCACAACGTTCACTATTCTTCAGTTTTTATATTATTGAAGAGAAAAACAATAAATGCAGGGCTGTATTAGTAATTAACAAATTCTTATTGCTAAAGTATTTATCCAGGAAAATAAAGTATTTATTCTCTGTGTATAAATAATAAATCAACAGGTAAAATTATATTAGTATAATTATAATCTGCAAGAACTTCTACAATGTCTATATAATTCTTCATGGGCCGTTGTCTTCAATACTTTAGCTCTCTGCAGAGGAAAGTTTCAAACATTAAATAGGAACACACAATATGTCAACTTCCAATCTAAAGATAGAGCCTTGAGAAAAATTTTAAAACTGCAAGTATGTAAGACAAAAAAATCTATAAAAGTAAGAAACACTGGCACAAACTGTCGGTGGTTAAAATAAGTGCATGCCTTGAACGTGGAGTGAGGTACTGTATGATAAAACTGAAAATTTCAAGAGCTGAATTTAAAGTGTAGGAAACGTGGAAGTTTAAGTGGTAATTTCAAATTGAGAATATTGGATTGGAAATGTTCAGCTTTTCAGTGATAAGTGATTTCATTGCCACCTTAAAATTCACATATTCAAATTGCGTTATTAAATATACTTAATTGGATAAGCACTTAATCTACTGATTATGTTATTAAACGGTAAATTTGGATTTGACTCATGTAAAGCTCTCATTGTTTTTTTTTTTTGATAAATATGTAAAGCTCTCACTTTGAGGATGCACCTAAAAGGTTTGCGTGTCAAGGTGTTTTCTCTTGTACTTGTATTTGAATGAGACAAGGCCTAAGCATTTTGCGCTTTTAGAAAATTTTATCTGTATGACCATGCCAGTGTATTAGAGAGTTATCTGGATTACAGCCATAGGATCAAGGCATGAACTGGTGAACTTAGTTTGCATCAAAAAAAAATTTCACATTCTTTTAAATTAAATGCTGAAACTCATAGTCTTGTTGCACTTACAGGGTCTGCAAACTTGTTTGGTGGCTTTGTTATCAAGGTATGTGTACTCTTGATTTTTTGGCATGTTTATTGTAATGTTTAGCTGTTAAAGAGGAAAACATATGTTTCCGACAAAGAAAATAGTACTTTCTTCTTTAATGAAGCCTATTTCTATGGTAGCTATATGCTAACTAGGGGCATTTCATGTTTTCATGTCGTATTTATGGGTGTCGTGGCATGGTCAGTTATATCGATTGACAATAACAAAACACAATTATTATTCTTGTCAAGGAACCTTGACACAAACACAACACGATTGTTAGACATGTAATACGACATGCTTTGCGTAACCTGTTTAATAATGAATTAAAACTGACATGACGCAACATGTTTAATTAAAATTTTCATTTCTAACATGGATAGAACACGCTTTTAAATGGATAATTTCTTACATGAATGCAACACATTTAGTTAAACAGGTCTAATCAAGCTGTAAATGGGTTGATGAATCAAACACGAACATGGCGCGTTTAATTAGTCTGTCGACCAGAATACGATTAAGCCAAAACCAAAATCACTTGGCACATGTCATGTTAGCGCGCCATGTCAATTATTGCTACCCCTAATCATTTTCATTAACAGTTGGTTTTATTGATTTGCTTTCAGTTTGAAGTAAAGTTTCTATTTCTCCCAAAATACGATCAATCTTCAAGTGCAATTAAAGTTATTTAAGGCACCGTAAATATATGAAGAGTTAGCCACAAGACATAAGTTGAAAGAATACGAAACATTTCAGATGTTTACGCATATTTTGATCAAATTATGGATTTGTCTATCCTCTGTGTGCTGTTAGCAAACATCTACACCCCGAGTTCTCTGAATATTTTGGACAACGGTAGTGTTTAATGCTGAATTTCTCATCAAGTGTTGGTTAAGTTTACATGTAGATTTCTTGTTCTGAAAACATTGGATTATTTTTCTTAAATTATTAAATTTTAACACGAGTGTTACATGTAAGCTTCTGTGTGACATATAATAGAAAAAGAACAGTGTTAGCATGTTACATTGTTGTGATATTCATTTTGTTACAGTTGTTGTCAAGTGATTTGTCTATAGATAGGTTTTTGGTAGTATGGACTGACAATTAAATAAATATAGTTTCAGATGGTTTGAACATGCTGCACAATCGTTCGTTAAGCTACCCTTCTTTGGAGCTGTCTCATATCTGACTATTGCTGTTTCTCCATGCTGCATAGCACTTGCTGTCGTTTGGGCAGTTTGCCGCCGTGATTCATTTGCTTGGATAGGTCAAGATATCCTTGTAAGAATATATATATTTTATATTTAGTTTTTTATGCTTTTCTTTTGACTATTGAAGTTCTAAATATTTATAGCAATCACAACCCCTCCCCCCTCTTCCCTTGCAGTTGCATGCAACATCCTTTATTATCTTCCAACAATCCTAATCGGCAAATTCTTTTAAGCCAGTATCAAACTGGAACTGCTATCTATAATGATAGTATTTGGGAAGAAATATATGCTTTTTTTTTACTGTTTATATAGGAAAAAGGAATTCATATGCAAGTAATGGAGACACATCAGTCGATTGCCTATAGTACAATACTTTCCAAAGTAAAATGATTTCATATATGTCCAGGATCCAAGTTGACTTTCCAGGCAGCATAAGTTCAACTTGTAACTTGCAAGAAATCAGGTGATTATTTATACCTATCAAACTATGGGAGATGTGAAGGGAGTTTGGATGAGAAGTTGGAATGTTTGTGTCGGGATTTGTGTCTCAAATTCCTATTCTAATTATCTTTCTATTTTAAAGTTGTATTCTATTTGGGAATTTCTTGTTTGGCAAGTCTTGGTCTCTAAGAAATTATAATCTTTGTCCAACAAGGAATTGAGTTTGGTTAACTCTATAAATATATAGATAGGCTTTGGGAATGAGATTGAGAGAGATGTTGTCTCATGGGAGAGTTGATGGGTAGAGGTAGTACACGGGTTGATAGAGTAGGAAAAACATCAGTGATGCTGATAGCAAGGAAATAGGCTCGTGGAGTGGTGAAATCTCTTTTCATCCATGGACGTTAGCGGGTTTTGGTTGAACCATGTATATCTTGTGTTTATGTGTGATTGATTTGTTGGCTTTTATCGGATCCTCATTGTACGCACGTTATCGCTGCCAAACAAATTGGTATCAGAGCCAAAGGTGAAGGAGATCTAGAAAACACAAGGAGTCTCAACATGTGCTATAATGGGTTTCAGTTGCACGTGGAGTCAATCAACTTGGTTACATGGAATGGAGCTCGAGTGGTCAAGGTGGAGCCTTGAAGGTTTGATTGATTGAGTAGCGTAGAGTATGGACAATTAGAGTTCTGCAGGAGGATCGTCAACATTGAAGCTGCAAAAAAAATTGTCCTGATCAATGCCGGGAAGTGATGATTGGTTGAATGGAATTTGAGCCAAGGTGGTGATTGTTGGGATTTGTGTCTCAAAATTCTATTCTAATTATGTTTCTATTTTAGAGTTGTATTTTATTGGGGAATTTCTTGTTTGACAAGTCTTGGCCTCTAAGAAATTGTAATCCTTATCCAATAAGGACCTGGTTAACTCTATAAATAGATACATAGGCTTTGGGTTGAGACTTGTGAGATTGTGAGAGATGTAGTCTCATGAGAGAGTTGATGGGTAGTATACGGGTTTGTAGAGTAGGAAAAACACCAGTGACTCTGATAGCGAGGAAATAGGCTCGTGGAGTGGTGGTGTTGGTCATTGTGTAATATCCCTACAAATCATAGTGGAATCTCTTCTCATCCATGAACGTAGGCCGATTTTGGCTAAACTATGTATCTTGTGTTTGTGTGTGATTGATTTGTTAGCTTTTATTGGATCCTTATTGTTCGCGCGTTATCGCTGCCCCAACAGTTTGTTTTAATAAAAGCAGCAAGGGAGCTTCTTTTTATTTATTTATTATTTTATGATTTCACTTAATTTTCAACACGTTACCCATTTCTTCATTTGTATTTGTACTGCAACAAATTGCATTTTTGGGTCCATCATATTTTTGTTGCCTCCAGAAAAGTGAGCATGTTGTCACAAGCCGGGTGTTTCACGATCCGACCCAAAAGCTTAAACTACTAGGTCCAACCTTATATGCCCAAGACCCTCCCCATCCGGATCCAATGTGGGATAAGTACTCATGACATTCTCCTGCACCCAAACCCGCAATGCCCTCGTTGCGGTTGGTTCACCCTACCTACCCATCCACCTTAATAGCGGGCCACCTACTAACGAGCCGGACACCTCTGGGTGGGCGCTTGGCTTTCCTTCAGATCAAGGATTAGGCCTACTTTGATACCATTTGTCACGGTCCGGGTGTTTCACGATCTAACCCAAAAGTTTAAGTTGTTGGATGGTGCTAGCACCCAACCTTATATGCCCAAGACCCTCCCCATCGAGTTCTGATGTGGAACAAGAACCCATGACAATGTGCCTTATACTTTGTTTGATTTGCTTAGCTTTTGTTTCATTTAGGCTTTGTTTGGTACGATGGGTTTGAAGGGGAATGATAACATTAGTTATGAGGGAAAGGGAAGGAAAGGATAATTTTAAACCTCCATCGCGTTTGGTTGATTAATGAAGGAAAAGAAAGGAAAGGATAATAATTATGTTTGGGAAAAGAAATGAAAAGAAAGGGAAGGGAATTATTTTAACATATTGACTATTATACCCCTTTATTTTTTAAAATATATATATATATATATATATATATATATATATAGTTTCATCTACTTGCCAAAAAAATAAAAAAATAAAAAAAAAAATTAGGGCAAATCATTTCAGCCTCCCCAATCCTCCATCTCTGTTATATTATATTATATTATATATATATATATATAAAGTCTTTAACTTGAGGCCATAAGAAAAGAAAAATAAAAAAATAGGGCAAATCAATTCAGCCTCCCCAATCTCTCTCCATCTTTGCAACTCCTCAACACTGAACTTGGCCTCTCTCTCTCTCTCTCTACAAGAATCAGAAATTCAAAACCCATATATTTCCAGTTTATCTATCTGTTTGCAAGAATCAAAAGTTCAAACCCGTATCGGTGTATCATTTCAGATTGTTCAGAAAATCCAAAACCCATATCTTTCAGTTTCCATGGCCGCTGTTCCAGTTCGGGTTCGCCGTTCCAAGCTTCAATCACCGGCGGTCTCTCTCTTTCTGCAATCTTGAGGGTAAAATTGGCATCTGAAATCACCCACCAAGCCTCTCCTTCCCTTTCCCTTCATTTCCTCCCATTTTTGGGAGGTTAAGAAATCTACTGTTGAAGGCCCAAGTTAACCCTCCAAACCCTTCCCTTCCCTTTCCTTTCCTTCCAACAATTTTTGCCAAACACATTTTTAATCCCCCTCCATCACCTTCCCTTGCCTTTCCTCCCATTTCTACTCTACCAAACTGACCCTTAATCTATTGGGTGATACAAATAAATATTCATACAAAAATTATTCACAAGTTAAATTTGTGAAAGAAATGTCTTCTATTATGAACTTGCCTCTTCTCCTACCGTAGGCTCCCTCCCATATATTCACAATAATGCATTTATTTCTTCATAATTAGATAGATTCTAATGTATGATACATTTGTGGGATTCATCTTCATGTATATTGATGGGTACATTTGTAAATGGTTGGAAGTGCCTAACTGACTATATTTTTACTTTCCTCTATCAGGGTATTGCATTGATTATAACAGTTCTGCAGATTATTCGTGTTCCTAATCTCAAGGTGATTGTCCAAACTCATTTTTCTTTTGCTGTTCAGGGAAATAAATATGCTAGGGAAGTAAACTCTTTTTTCTTTTTCCTGAAGGACAGTTGTTTTCTTTCTAAGCAGCTGTTTATCGTGCTTTGACGTAATATCTTCATTTTTTGGTAATACAATTCACGTACCTATAAAAATAGAAGTAAATACGCTAGCTTGTGCGTGGCTCATGTCTTAGAAAAGTCCTTGCAGTTTACTTTTTGGCAAATTTATGGCTGTAAATCCTACTTAAAGATGTGGATATGTTGTGAAGTACTGGCGTTACTAAATGATATTAACATTGTTAGGAAGAATGTTCTTTATTTTCCTTTCGATGCTTGATGTTTAGATGGTTTACTGTGGCATGGACAGTTGTGTATGTTTTCCCGGACAGGGTGTGCGTCTAATTGAACATTAGTTAGGAATTTTAAGTTGGAAGAAAATCGGGAAGAAAATTATCAATTTTTTTAGATTCATCATTCATAAATACTGCAGAAATTCTTGTGACTGACTGAATATTCTCTTGAATGCATGATAGCCAGATGGAATACCTGGGGCAAGTAGATATTCTTTCTTGTTAGGTGGTATCAAAAGCAATTTCACTTGATTATTAGAATGTTCTCTGCTGTTGTAAAATTTTGTAAAAATATATAGTTTTTTTGAATAATTTGCTTAGCATCAAGTTTGCAGCATGATTTTTTAGGTTTACAAATACCCCTAATAAATTAAATAATATTGTTAGTTAAATATTTAGTTAGGGATCACATCTGGTTTTCCTAGCTGGTCAAATGCAAATGCCAAAGAGATTAATTCAGTTTCCCTATATTGGAATGGGCTTTTTTATCCACCTCATTCATATTCTTTCCGTCTTAGGAGAATGATATAGGGTTACTCGGTTTCATGACCTATTGTGACATATCTAACAGTGTAGGTTTTCCGGCCTGCATTTCAGCCAAGTTTCACGACTAGTCCCACCCCACCACCGACTGTTGTCTCAGGAATTTGGGTTCAAATTCTATGGAGAACTAAAGCCAGGCTGAGAGCAGGACTAAAAAATTCAAACCTTAATTTGTTATAATTTGATTTATTAATCCAATTCTATATATCAACTCTTGTTGCTTAGTTCTATTAACTGAAAGTTGAATATATGATTATATTAAATAGCTACTGTACATATTCACAGAGTAGATCAGCTTCATTATGACAGTTTTACAATGACATTGTGAAGAAAATAAAAGTCACATAACACATTAATTTATACAAGTTTGAAGTTATGAATCTAATAAATTTTAGTATTTTGATGCGCCAGTATTTGGGGTAACTAATACTTAATAGTCAATAATTCTATTTTCACAATTCAAATTATCAGGAAATTTATTTCACAGTTCTTAATGTGTGGTGGTGTCAATTTGTCTTTTGCATCATCTAGTTATTAGTTTAAAGCTTCCTAAATGAAGCAGCCACAAGAAAAAAGGTCCCGATATGTAGTAGTTCATGTGTATAGCAACAAAAATCACCTTCCTAAAGCTCACAGGATAAGGTGTCTTCACAGTTATTGAACAGAAACTAATTATCACAATAAGATCCTTTATGTATGAGATGGACTTACACTTCAGATAGGCTATGCTTCTAAATGGATTATTATCTATGATCAACAAACACAATGGTACTAGTGAAACTTGTATAAAAAATAAAAAAAAATGAAAGAAAAAAAATGGTACTAGTGAAAGATGAACAAGAATAGCTCCTTTTTTGTGTGTACATATATGCACATAAAAGGCTGAGAAAATATATGAGCAGGCATGCTTTGTCTCCTCCTTGGAGCGTAAGAGGTGCACACACTTATATAATAAATTAACAATGAATGCATGCCTATACTATCGTACTCAAGTGGCTGACCTGAGATTCATGCACAAAATAAAAAATAAAAAAGTTCCATGAATCCTGAACAATTTAAAATATCTGAAATGGATGTTGTCTATCTGATGGATGTAGGTTCACAATTTCTTTGAACAGTGAGATTAGTTCCCTCATTTGGTATCTCATTTGTTTCTAGTATAGGGAAAACAGGTTTTATTGCATTACTCTTGAGGGAGAACACTATGGGTTGACTGATTTAGATCCTGCCATTCCAACTATGTTCCACTATAAGAAAGTTGTCCTTAAATACCACGAAAATGCTTTGATCTGCTTACCTGCTACCAAAACAGACTGTAAGCCTTGCTGCTATCCCACTCCTTTGTTAACCCATCAAAAGAAGAAAATACTTTTTATCTTTTTTTCCCCTCATTTCATTAGGGTCAACTACCAAGATGATTTTTAAAAATAAAAAAATATTTCTAATGCACCAAGTGGTTAAATACCACTGATGTCACCCTTTCAAGCGTGGCTTCTAGAGATTTCTTGCGAGAGGTGTTGCGCTTTTCATGGTAAGAATTGGTCCAAAAACTGTTTGCGAGTATAATGATCTTGATGTCTGCATGTAGTCTACCTTTTTTAGTTTCTTGTTTTCTTAAGATCTGAATATGCTCTCTGAGTGACGAGTTGCTATATACAAACTTGAGCTAGTTAAGAAATATTGTAATACTACTGTTTCCAATATGCAATGTGATCCTTCTTCGATAAGTCAATGGAAAATATGTGTTCACGTTAATCTCTTCCTTATAAGGGAAGATATATGCCTATTACAGCAGTTGAATGGCTTGAAATACTTCCTATATATATATATATATACATATTGAAAACTAGAAAAGGTCAGTGATTAAGATGAGTATTTGCTGCTGATTTTAATGTATTTAACTTAATTCTTTATTTTTCTTGATGTGATCAGGTTGGAACTGTTCTCCTCAGTTGTGCATTTCTGTATGACATTTTTTGGGTGTTTGTTTCTAAATGGTGGTTCCATGAGAGTGTCATGATAGTGGTAAGTAGTTCTCTGAATGCTCAACTTCCCAGTACACTAGAAGGGCTTTTATTAATCTTTTTATGATTTATGTGCTAAATGTCAAAATTCATTGTGTTCCATACAGGTAGCTCGTGGTGGTAAGAGTGGAGAAGATGGCATTCCAATGCTACTGAAAATCCCACGAATGTATGATCCTTGGGGTGGTTACAGCATTATTGGATTTGGTGACATCATCTTACCTGGACTGCTAGTCGCATTTTCGCTGAGGTCTGAGTTCCAGCTCCATGTATAAGTTGATATGCTAGATTCAAATTGTGGTCTATATATATTTTTTGACATGCTCCCTTAGTTTCAATCTCCCCCACTCCTTTCATGAAACCTTCCACTGTATGCCAGTATACCTGGCTCAGTAACTTTAATTTGATTGGTGCATCTAGAGGAGTTTCCTTTTGCTTTTAATGTCTTTTTTTTTTTTTTAACAAGGTTACTTAAGGAAGTCACTGTTCTAGCAAGTGAATTGCTAGTAAAGCAAAATAATTTTTCTGGGTCCTTGCAGGTATGATTGGCTGTCAAAGAAGAATCTTCGAGCTGGATACTTCTTGTGGGCAATGATTGCCTATGGCTTAGGTATGAGAAAGTGCTATATAAATATAGTAGGCATGTTCTAACATACATGTTGAATATCTCATGGAAACCCTGATAAACCTAGAAATGGGAAAGATTGTTGTATATGCTTGCATGCATGTGCCTGTGTTGTCCTTGCTTTTCTCTTACCTTTTTTCCCCCCTTTTACATCAGAGACTTTAGGTTTAGAATTTATACTAAAAAGTAGTATATCAAGTTTAGGGTGGGAAGAGAGCGAGGGGGGAATTTTGTAATCAAAGCACACTACGCAAAGGAGGAGAACGTGCAGGATGACGAGGAAGCAAAAAGAAAATGAATGATAAGAGGGAAAATATTGGGTAGTAATGTGCAAGGTTTTATTGACCATGATTGTGTATTTTCCTTGTGATGAAGCTACAAAAGCTACATGTAAATGTGTTGTGTTTGAAGTGGAATAATTATGTCTCCAAAAATAACACAAATATTACTATAACTTCACAGCACCTCGTGTTTATCGTTGCATTACTGCTCTTATGACTGGAAGCTAGCTTTCACAATAATCCTTGAAAATTTGCAATGCAGGTCTCCTCATCACATACGTGGCTCTGAATTTGATGGATGGACATGGCCAACCAGCGTTGCTCTACATTGTTCCTTTCACACTAGGTAATTTACAAGAGCATACCAAGGCACCTTCACACACCCACAAAAAAACACAACTCCAAGCAGCCATCAATCTGTTTATGACTAGAAAATATATAACTTGTTGCGAAGGCCTTTGATTAGCGGTAACCCCTGGCCAGAGCTAAGGGGACGGTGCCTGGCCTTCTTGGGGGCTCTTGTAGGTAGTCTTATCATGAATATTTAGGTTTAGATTATCAAACAAACATTAATGGAAAATATATAATACTATATATATATATACATATATATATATATGATTCTCCTAGCAGGCTTATTGATTCATCACTTCTCTATTAGAAGTTTGGAACAGTAGTAAGTACTTTTTAGTGATTAAAGGGCTATTTGTTCACACTCCTGCAGTAGTGAGTGTGGCAATCATTTTTGCCCCCTTACTGAAACAGAGTACATTCAAAAACATTCTACCGATGATCCCAAGGAGTAGAATTTTTATCCAAAGTTACTTCTCGGTGACCTATTAAGAGCCCGACATTTGATATAGTACATATTACAGTAATTTCTGCTGCTACTAACATTATTTGTTCAACAATGCCAGGGACGTTTTTGACATTGGGAAGGAAGAGAGGTGATCTTAAGCATCTGTGGACAAGAGGAGAACCAGAAAGGCCTTGCCCGCATATCCAACTCCAACCTTCTCAGTAGATAAAAACATGGACAACGTGTTAACTGTAATTGAAAATCAGTAACCTTTAAAAAAAAAACCAGATAGGCAGACCCACCTTTATAAAGCAGAGATTAAATATGTACTATAATACTACATGTTAGCACAAACCACCTGCCTCATGCCATGCATGTGTTTGGTTAAATCTCTCAAGTCGCGTGAAACTAGTCTTTTGGCTAACATCATAAGCTCAACCCTAGTTTTGGGTGGGCTTTGTGTAGCATAGAGCTGAACATGTTAAAATATATATGTGGGTGATCATCTCTCTCAAAGGAAGGAAAAGAAGTCGGTTGTAACCTATCCTGATTTTAATTGGAGCTCCCATGGGTAAAAAAAAATTGTGTGTGCAGTCAGAAAAACCTAAGCAGAGCATCATGGTAGCCTCGGAGTCGCTTTCTTCTGCCGTACTTCTCTACTAATGAAATAACCTACAGGAAAAGAAGTATATTGGTAGAGAAATTTATGCAATTAAGGATAAACTCATGTCAAATGATTATTTTACTATCGATTAAAAGTGCGACTAAAAGTGAAAAAAAAAACTGAACTTATGCCCTTTTGCAAATAACTCTCCCACCTTAGAATTAAAGATTTGTTGCAATTAAGAAAAGACTCATTTCAAAAGATTATTTTACTCTTCTTCATTAAAATTTTCATTTCTTATTAAAGTATTTTCATTATCTAATCTAAATATTAGTTAGACTATTTCAAATTTACTGTTTATAATAGAATTTAATAATACTAGATTTAAACTTTTTTACCATAAAAGATAACTTCTTTTTTCGTACAGTATATTTATACCTTCTTTTTCATGCAATATACTCAATAAAAATTAAGAAAACTTAATTTTTTTTTAAAAATGTGTACTTTAGATTTTTATTTAAACAATTAATTTCAATAATTAAAGATATATTTATGCAAATCTAATGGAGGATATAACATCAAATTAATATGAATATTATTTATAATTTATTTTAATAAAAAAATAAAGTAATTCAATAAAAAATAGCATTACGATCGTTTAATGAAATATATAACTTAGGCATGGGCATTTTGTAACAAAATGTGATAGTCTATTGTACTTAAACGAAAGATGAGGTATTGTGCATAAAATATATATACTACAAGGGATCCCTTTACCATTTTGTATAAATGGGGTATTCTATTTGTGATAGTGAGTAAGTAGATCAGTCAATGGATCAGATTCTAATTCGAATTCGAATCTGATTTAATTATCCGGATATAGATTGATCATAAAATTCAATAATGATCTAAATTTGACAATTCGTAACCTTAACAAATTGAATATGGATTATAGGTAATCCGATCCGATTAAAATTTTATATATATATATATTATTACATTATATTTATCACTATATTCATTTGGTTGCATAGTTATATTATGCACCATTTAAATATTGGCAATTCTCTTTGTCAAAAAAAAAATTAATAATAATAATAAATTAAAAATAATCTTGAGTCCGAATCCGTTTCAATATGAATTAGAGTTAAATAAGATATGAATTGAAACATTAAATCCAATAATCCGTTAATAATCAAAACCCAATAATTCATTAGATTAACAAATCGAAGCCGAATAATTCATTAGATTAACAAATCGAAGCCGATCCAAATCTCATTCGTTGACAGGCCTACATAAAAGCTTCTTTAAAGGACCAGGGGTCATTCGCTAATTCGAACAGGTTTTTACACCTAACCCTAAAATCAAATTGTTGACAACATATCACTGGATTGATGAACGCATGATACGTCATGTAGCACTATAGTAGGGTTTTGCTGTCCCCTCGTTCATGGTAGCTACAAATCCTGCTTATGACAAGTCTCACAGCTGATTATCTTCCCACTTTGAGCCCTATTCAACACAAAACCATCAAATGAAATGTCAGCAGACAATTTTTCAATTCGACTTTCTGAGAAAAATCGATAAAAAAAAAAAAAAACACTCATGTCCAATACACAGCATACAGATGTCACAACACTTCCAATCCAAACCGACCAACGACGTGAGCTCTCAATGCCTTTACATTCCTCGGTATTGATGCTATCGTCAAATAATTCAAGGACCATTTCTCATTCGAGACCTCAAAGTCACCCCCAAACAACATGAATGCATAAACTCTAAAATTTACATTAAAATTAAAAAAAAAACAAAAAAACAAAAAAAAATCCTGTTCCACCAATTAAATTTGAAGCCTTTCTTCAATGAAGAAAGACCATGTAGAACAACGGTCCTGTGAAAGGTACAAAAGCTAGACAATCAGGCAACGCAAAAGCAGGAAATTAACAATGGACGGTTGAGCAGCACAGACTTGTAACAAGATAATTTCCTTTTCATTTTGTTTTCCTGTAGAGTACAAGAGATCAACCCACTAAAATGAAAATTACATTTCAACAATCACACACAAAAACATTAAAAAAAAAAAAAAAATTAAAAGATAAAAATCTAACTACCTTTTACATGTGGATTTACATCAACTCTTCTAGTCCCCATCGCAATCTCTTCTAGCTGACATATGGTCAAAATCGTTCTGGCTACACTTGCCATTCTATGGAAGTCCCAATCACTTTCATTTGTGGTCTTTCCCGCCTGCCCATAACAACAAATTATCTCAATGCACCTGTTTCAAACAAAATCACCAGTCTTTACATTGGTAACAGAAATTCTGATTAATGTCTCTTTTCCACTTCAGTACTACAGTAATAACTAAAGAACATCAATTCCATTCGTTTTCAGTTTTATTTATTTTAGCTAATTTCTAATAAATATAAGTGTTTAAATCAAATTTTGTTTTGAAAAAAATCCAGTTTAGTAAACCAATTAAAAAGGAATATTTTAAAATAAACAAAAACATAATCAAGTCTAAGGTTGATTGTTTTAAAACATATGTATGCTTAGATATTAGATTTTAAAATTTTACATGAAATTACTTTTTACAGGTATTCACCAAACACGATTTTTTATTTTTAATGCTTTAAATCTTAATCAATTACTACATGATAATCAAGTATGCAATAATCATAATGATTTTAAAAAATCCAACCCAAACATAAACTTAGATGGGAAAAAAGTAACACATTTCAAGGAAAAAAATACTTTCTATAAGTGCTCTATACAAGGTATAGATATTTTGTTTGCTGAATAATATATCTTCACAACATTGATAATTCACTAAAGGTGTAAAAGCTCATGCAAATACGAGAACAGCCACATCATGCAAATAATGCAACATGTAGGTTTGCAGCCAATTCACCTTCCCAGCAGCCCGCATTAGCAGGACAAATGAGTAATGGCCTTTTATTGATTATTTAGTAGACAATGCAAGGGCTATTGAATTTTTTCTATTACAAAAATGAAGATATCTTCAATAATATCAATGATTTGTTGTTCTATTAGTACAAGAGAACCCATAAGACTTCTTTTGAGGGAGGTGGAGAGTTCAGAAAAACTCAAGGGCATTTAACTAACATGCGTAGGGTATAGACGGGCCAGGATTTTTGTGAATTGAATTAAGACTCCCTTGACCCACCCACCCTAACAAAAGAAAGAAAAAAAAAATTAAGAGGAAAAGAATATAGACTTGCACAAAAGAGAGGCACAGCCCAAATTGAAAATAAAAATTCAATTTGGCCAATTCTGTAGAATTGGGGCATATGGTGATCTTATTTCCAGCCAAACATGCTATATAATTTTTTACTTGTTAATCCATGCACATAAAACACAATCTAAAGACCTCATTTTAGGAAAAGGAAGAAAACTTATATATAAATTTGAATAGGATTTTTAAAGTAAAGATGAAAATAAAGAAAAGAAAATCATATATTTCAGGTCATATAATTTAAACATTTAGTAATAAAGTATACATACTCGGATATCTTTTTAAGGAACCATTACCATTGATAGATATTGGTACTGGTCTCCTTCCTTGTCCTAAAGATAGAATCTCTTGCAATCTTTCAGGCCAGTCTGAATTCAGTCTACGGGCAAAATCCTCCACCTCCCTGTGTAGTGAACAAAAAAGAAATGTCATGCAAAAGATACAACAATAAGAATGCTACAATGCAAACTTTTTTCCTTTGCTGCAAGCCCATCATAATAAAGCTGTGACAGACAGTTGTAAATAGGGATGGCAATTTACCCCGCTCCAGCGGGGACCCACCCTGCAATGCCCCTTATTGGGCGGTTTTGGGGAGTGTGTAATTGAAAATTGCGGGTATGGGGGAAGGTTAGAAAAAACCCGCACGGGTTCGGTGAAGCCCTGCCCTGCTCCGTTTGCTGTGCAATTTTAAATTAGTACCCCTTAAATTTTATTATATGTACAAAAATATCCTTAGCCCTAATTTACTTACTTTACGCTTCTCATTCTCTCTCTCTGCTCTACCTCACTCCATCTCTAATCAAATGGTCCTAAGAACACTTTATGGCATGCTTAATTGTTACATTCAAACCCCCATTTCTGTTGTCTCCACTTCATCTCCTCTATCTGATGAAGATCGATCTGATAAATAGTTGGTTTTAGTAAGTGGCTTGTAAGATTAGTGTCCTATAAATGTTCATTTTAGTTTAGATCTTGCAACCTAGGTTTTGGTTTCTTCCAATTTCTTGTTTTTTTTTTTTTTTTTTTTTGGTGATAAAAATGATGTTTTTACATGATTAGTGCTGAATTCTGTTGATAATTTTGTGTTGAAGTGTATATGTGCATGTATAAATGTGTATAAGCACACTGAATTTAATTTCTGGGGTTTTTCATATCCCCGCAGCCATTCCTGTCCCAGGGGCTTTCGGTTTCTTCTGGATATTTCTTTTGGGGGCTTTCGCAAAGGAAAGAGATCTAAGATCACCCATCTGGTGCATGTCTAGCTGTTTTGGGCATTTCGCCATATGCATATTATGTGCATGTATCTACATGCGTTTTGATGCCAAAAAAAAAAGGCTAATTGAGCTCACCTATCAATTTCTTCTTTCATTGCTGGATCTATCTCGTCATCTATATCGCCATCATCAAACTCATCCTCAGGTGCAAAATTATCATCTTCCATGTCTTGTAGCTTTAATCTCTCATCAATAGTGGGCAGAATCAAATTGTGGATATGGACATTATGGTAAACAGAATCTGGACCATTTAACTCCTACAAGATACGAGATACACCAGTTACTTTCTTTTTCTCTTTTATTCTTAGACCGGAGAAGACGTCTGTGACTCAACAACTTCAATGAAACATATGCACTAATTAATGATTCGGTAGGGATATACAACAATTAAAAAGGCCAAAAAGAAAAATCTGAAAGTAGCAATGTCTTAGTGCTGACCTTATGGATTTCAATGGCATTGTTTGAAGAAGAGATATCAGATAAAGAAGCAACACAATTAGAACAAGTATCCCCTTGTTGATCTTTTCTTCTCCGGTTCTTCTTTTTATTTTTAGAAGTTCTGACCCCTTTAGAATCTGCAAAATAGAATATATTCAACATCAATGAGTTCAGCAGTGGGAAGTAAAGAGAAGAAGGAGAGGGGGGGGGGGGGGGGGGGTGGGGGGGAAGGCTCAAAGTTAGAATGCCTGCTTTTTTCAGTACTGTTTTATGTTCTCAGTAGTAAGAGAATTAAATGACAATTATCTGAAAACTGAATTCAAAAAATAATTGTTTTCAAAGAGCAATCTTTTACAGTTATTTAAAATCATTTTCTGAGTTCTTGAAAACTGTTTCCAAACAACTAAACAGAAAAGGTCCTGGTTTTCACACTGATAAAGTATAAGGTGAAAGAACGTGATATTTAAGGTAATATAATTTGAAATGACTAAGACAATTATATGAACACATTGAAAATCCCAAGTGGCACAAGCTGCAACAAAAAGACTGCCTCACGTTGATTCACAACATGTACTTTCTTATGAGTTGTGGTCATAACAAAAGGATTTCCCTGTTTTTTCCACCTTTTTAAATTTCATGACAGGCGAGAGAAAGAGAAAAAAAAGTAAGAAAGAAAGATTGATAATACTAAATTGCTGTGAATCCAGAATCTGGCACTGTTCATTTCTTGTATCTATGTAACTATACCAGAACGTGTGTGTGATATTTAAGAAACTTAAACGAGTGTTCTATGATTCTTCAATAATTAAGTCCGCATATGTTTAATAAATCAGCGTCCCCAGTTTCGAGTAAAATTTTTAGTTTTACCCAGTAACGAACTAGTAGTTCATATCATAAGACAGCATTAAAAATTCTCATATGAGAAAAAGCTGTAAATATTTTGAGACTTCTAACTTTTCACATAAAAATACCCTTTCAGTTTACAATTAGTAAACTCCTAATGCACCCCCCTCATGCACTTTAGATGCCATATCAGCAGTACAACTACTGAACTACAACAGCTTTGGAATTTTGAATGGTGCTTTTAGACCAGTACTAAAATCAATCAGCTTGTAATCTTCTAGGTAACAGATGATTTTCAACTAGAAAGCAGAACTATACAGAGTCATATATATCATGAATCATCATTAAATTAGGATTCTTTGTAAAAAAAATAAATATATTTAAATTATTTTAGGTCCATGCTTTCTTTCCTTTGAATTAAAAAGAGGGAAAGAGAGAGAGTGGTAGTACACCAGAATCCAAGAAATTCTGGAGGGAATGATGGATATAGTGAGAAATATCATTAAAAAAAATCCGAGGATGCAAAATAGTTACATTGAAGGTGACTCGAGAATCATTTTCCAAGTAAATTCTTCTAACTTCAATCACTATATAAGGTCTTTACCGGCGAATCTGCTTAAAAGAATTCCACAACCTCAACAAATTTAGGTATTATGATTATAAGGTGTGTAACACTATTCCACCCAACGCCTAACTTGACTGTCAAGGTTTGCCATTCAAGCACCAATCAGCTTGGGAAGAAAAATCAAATGATACAACGTTGATGAACCCTCCAACCGCACACATTAACATGTGATGTACAATCAATAAATATTGGCAAAGTTTTGCACATTCAATTTGACATTCAAATAGCTAAAAAATCGTACAACTTGTAACACTGATGGAAACGTTAGATGATGTATCAGGACAAGACAGCTGAGCATCAAATGAAACTTAGGGGGCTCATATATAATAAGAGAACTCTGGCTACTGTAATCAGTTATTCAGTGGAGAACTCCATAACTATCACAGTTCCTCTAGGTTCCCCACGACCTACAAAAATAATTTAGCAAATGTAGAAGCAATCCATTTCCCACTTCAAAAGAATATAAAAAATTTCATAACCCCTAAGTTCAATTCAAATTGAATTTGTTTCTCAAGTTTATTGTCCTGATGATCAAAAGGAAGCAGCACAATTTTTCTTCAAGACATTCAATGGAGTCCAAGGCTTCTTTTTTATTATATTAGGGATTTATCTCTCTGGTGGCTTTGGGACTGCTACATAATTTACCCGCAATTTCCTTTTAATACCATTGATAAAACCAGGTTTCTCCTGACATCATATCTAACCTAAGACACTAACCAAATAACTCGGTAACATCTTCAGAATCCACTTGCAACAGCTACAACAAGGTAATACCACAAGAGGAAGAACTGTGAGCATTTACTTGCAAACTATTCAACACAATTACCCTTCTGGCATGGCATGGCAGCCACTACTAAGAAAAAGATTTTCACTGGTTTGAAGTGAAACAATCCATATACATTATATCAAAACATGATATGGTATGAAGCAACCAAGCAAATACATTTCAATATGTTTATGCACACATAACAACTAAACCACAATCAACATGGACACACACATCCACACACACTGGGTTATGCCTATATTGGCCAGTGATGCCTTGACTAGTTGGCATGGCAGCCACTACTAAGAAAAAGACATAAGCAGTCGACCCCTTCTTATGTCTATGGTGGACTATTTTGATAGTACCAGAAAAAACGTTCCTTTGAAGGACTTGATTTGCCTGCCTGGAACTTGAAACATTTGATGCGAGGCTGTTCCTTTTTAGGATAAATCAAATTTGAAGTTGAAGCAATCTGAAAATTTCATATATATATATTTGTTGATTTTTTGGGATGTATCATATATGAAATTGAAGTTATTGTGTAGTTTTGGATCCTGAGTACATGGTTGTGCATCCCTTTTGGCACCATTTTATAATACTTTTATTTGTTAAAAGTGGGAAAAAGAAAAACCTTGAGTAGTAAATAGTAATTAATGTACTATAAACACCGATGTCAGCCAAATCAAACCCCAAAACTCGATCTTAAGTTGATTTTAATTCACAATCACGGTCCACTAATACGATGCATGTGAACGAGACGAAACATGATTTCTTTGTCAGATCTAGATTTTGTGTAAATTTCCTTTCAGATTTAAGCTTCAGATACTTACCAAAAGAAATTAGATCTTCAGATAAAAAATTCTAAATCAATGAGACAATTCAAAATAAAATTTGTGCGCGTTTTTGTACTTCAATTACAAGTTCATATCCTAGGGACATCACTAAATCAAGTTATCAACTCCAAAAAAAAAAAAAAAACAATCACATGATACATTTCCAAAAGGTGGTGTCAACCTTTGCAAACTTGGTGCTAAAAATTACTGATAATTAACCTATATAATGTTATTAAAGAAGCAAAAAAAGAACCAGAAAATATTCTTCACAATTTAAGCCACTCAACAAAATTCCGACTTCATGTGAAGCTTAAAAAAATAATTAGTGATACTGACATCCAATCTACTAAGCGGATAAAGGGTTAAGAAATAAGAAGATAGTAAACCGAGTCCACACTCAAGATACCTCCATTTCCTCCATTAATAAAAGACAAGAGGTCATCGATTGAACGATCATCCACATGCTCCTCTTCAACCTCGACATTCTGAAAGACAAGGAAGCCCAATTTCCATCAATATTAGTTTGCATGTACACCTTGGAGCAGTTTAATGGTTCGAGACCACTTCTATGAAGCAATAGATTCAAAAAAAAAATTATGTTAGTCCCCCAAAATACAAAATCGAACTAGAAATTTAAAATATTAACGATGAAAGAAAACAATCAATTTTTTAGTCACCTTCAATCTCTCTCTCTCTTTAAGTTCTTTCCTCTTTCTTGCGTACAGCCTATTCAAAAGCCTTATCCGCGGATCATCGGTTGTGTTTTTCAAAGGCTCCAATTTCTCTTCCTGGATCAATCGAATTAATGTCATTATACCAATGGATGTGCAGAACACAAGCTTTCTTCTTAAGGCTATACAAAGGATGTGCTAAACATATACACTGCTTGCAAGCACGACACCTCTGTAAGATCGTCAGGCAAATGAAATGTCTCGCGTATCTCCTCAGGAGTTTTTCCTTCAATCATTCGTGCTAGTGCACGGCTGGTGAGGTCAACCAAGGGCTTCAGTTGGAGGCTGTCAGCAGCAGATGTCAACTCACAGAGCCTTTTTGTGTCCATCCGAATGAACTTCTCATCAAAAGACTTCCGTTCCTATGCAAAAGAAGTCAAAATTTGTTAAATAATTTTGAGCCCCACAAAAATCAAGGAAAGACAAAACAACATCAAGCCAACAAAGGCAAACGGCAATTCTGAAGCACATATAACCTTGTTAGAGCGACCTGATACTTGATGAAATCTGCAATAATCAAGAATCAAGCTCAACATTGCAGGATTGACTCGTGGTGGAAGAGATATAGGGTAGTTCTTCGAAGACCCCATGCCTGTGTGTATTTCATGACATATCACAGGGCAAAACATGGCGACTTCTTGTTCTAATTGTTGAATTGAACCATCAGCTGTTTGAAGCCATATATACGACTTCATCATCTGAGAATACACAAAAAAAAATGACATAGATTAGAATACACTCTACCCTGCTTAGACCTGCCTGTTGTAATATTCCTGCAAGTATGGTCATGTGAAGTTCAAATATGATACTTTCATTAGAGACTTAGTCTATGGAATAAATATGAATGGTGTCCTAGGAGGTCTTAGGGAAAGACATGTCTTTCAATGCTCAGTTTCCTGCTCTGGTACAAAGTAATTGGAAATGCAGGTTCAAGAACTTGCTGGCTTCCCTTCTTCAAGGCATTGGTTCTGGCGCAAGGGAAGGGTGAGATTTTCCAAGCTAGCTGCAGCAACATTATTTCTTCAATGATAAAAAATTTTTGGACCCTTTAACTTGTCAAAATAAATAAATATTTTATATCCTTTGCACAAACCATATTTCTTGTCGGCATGATGGTACTTACTCGGCAGTTGTATACAAGCATTGGCAACTATCAGAAACTATCAGATGAAAGTAATCAAAACAAAGAGATACCACCACTATGAAATTGAATTCTGAGCCAAATTGGCAGATATTTTAAAATCTTCATGAGGCATACTTCTTGTAGTGTTTAGGGATAGTTCTTTTGATTCCGGTTTTTTGGTTGTGGAGATCCCGAAAATCTTCTATCTTTTCTCCACTCTTAAGTCTTAATAAACTTTTTAAAAAGGAAATAGCCGACTGACTACCACATAGATACTAGGACTCAATCACCCAATTTAGACCATTTGATAAACCATATATCCCACCATGCCAACTTAAATTATTTGAACACTTATTGTAAAATTCCTCTCATGCCCTTCCTCAAAAGTCACCCACTCACCAGAATTGCGTCAGCCAAGCATTGTCTAAGCCATTAAGGTCCCAACTTTTCCAAAAGTCCAACACATATTCAAGTGAACCAGTGACATTTCATAGAATCTAAAAATTAGTAGATCTGCCAAATTATGTATAAAGTTAAAAATGACCTTATTCAAGTTCCTTTGAAATCCCGAGAGAGTTTTAATGTATAAAATTAGAAACTTTGAAAGAAAATGAGAGTTTTGTTTTAAAAATGACCTTATTCAAGGTTCCATCTATGGCACAGCCATTTCTGGTAAGTACAATTTTATTACCAAAAAAATAAGAGATTACAGAGAAGCTCCAAACACTCTCGAGCAAAAAGAAAACACACTCCGTCCAAGAGAAGGCTAAGAAATAAACGATATATCTCGCACCTCGAGAGGCTAAGTAAAAGGAGAACCTATCTAAGAAGGGTTCATGGGAGGAATCCCTTAAGACCCCATCAATGGTGGGCAAACCATAACCAGTCTCCTCTTCATAAAAATTCTTATAATTGAGACGAGGATCAGAAACATCATTATATCCTTCTAGGGCCTCAAGATAACCCACTTTGGGTTCCATATTTTCTACGTCCTCCTCATAAAATGTGAAGGCTTTTTTATTCTTTTGAAGACGTAATGGTAGAAACCTCAAAGGATGACAAATGTGCAATGTATGTCGACAGAAGAATGAGCTTCTTGGGGTTCTACGGCAAAGCTTGCCACAGAGAGAGAGGGGGTGAGGGGGCAACATCATATTCTTAATTATCAATGTAATACTCTATATAACTAACTGCATGTTGGATCTCTTGAGAGTACTTTTATACAAGTACCAATGTCGAATATCAACATCATCGATTGAAACTAATGGCAAAAGATGGACAATTACATTCGGTGGTGCAAATCAAGAATATAAAACATGAATTATAATTAACATAGCATTATATGGATAGTTCAAGGTGTGTATGGTGCAACTAGATATTTATACATAAGAAATCTACCACAAGGTAACAACTCCATCTGTCAATAGGCTGCACCCGCTTGGGGTTCCTAGTGAACTTCAAACTACCAACCCATTCTCTTCAGAAAGAGTATTGGAGTGGGAATCAGTTTACTTTTCGTTCATTAATATTTGTTAAGTAGCCTACTCTTCAATTTTTTACTCAAATAAAGGAACTAATCTATTCATTAATGCTGGCAAAAAAAAAATGCTAAGAAAATGAATTATGCACGCATTACTTGGTAGAGAACTATTAATGCAGCCAAATATGTGCACATTGCATTTCATTATTGAGAGACATTAAAGAATTAAAAGGAAATAAATATGGCTTTTTGAGAGTAGTTTACAAGGTCAAAAGATGAGATGATAAAATAAAAATGAAGCAGCAATTTTTTGGATTAGTTTATGAAGGCAAGGTCATCTTTAAAAATATGTTGAAAAGTAAAGGTTTGTCTAAAAAGCCTTTTATGTCATACTTGCCTCTTTAATAAAAGGACAAATGTGGGTTTCTCTGCCATTCTATCCCCTTTCAATTCTTGTTAGGGTCTTATAGCAATGCCAATGATATCGTCTATCTCTCTGTTGGAATACTGCCAATTTGTCGAACAAGTTGAAGAAACCAAACTCAATAAAAGAAATGTGTCAGAGAAGTAGATATATTGCTTTTACATTCAATACTGTGAGATCCCATTCAATTTTCTGTCAATATGAAAACTCTGATATGTTTCCTTCTTAATATCCTAGAGATTTTATATCTCAATCAGATATCCACAATCGAACACTTGCCAAAAAAAAAGATGACCACAATCGGACATTATTCCATATTATGGTTAACCACTCGTATGATAACAGTTAATTGATGCAACTTTTCATCAGTAATGCACTGCATTAATCTGGCTCAATTTTCTTGGATTTCCTTAAGTCTTACCAGCATTAAGTTAATATGTTAGTGCCATGACTTTGTACCATAACATTAATATACAAGTGATAAAAATTACATTGTAAACACACCAATCACGTCATACTAATTACATTGTAAACATGCTAATCAACTCATAGTAAGCTAAAAGATAAGGGCTAACATAAGGGCACCAGGCAGGTTCTTTGCAACCAAATCTATGCACCCCTACCCACAAAAACAATGCTAATTAGCATGCATAAATCGAGAAAAATAGGGAGGCACAATATGAGCTAGAGCATCTCGTTGAATAAAATTGTTGCTAAAAAACGCATAGAAGGCAAAAAAAGAAAGCTAACAACAAACAAGGTGGAAAATCTCGTATCTGCATATGCTAAATAAAGATGAAGAGAATACTTCATAAACTAGTGTGTACAACATACCTCGGGTTTTATGACTTCTCTATCAGCATCTGACATTGGAAAATAATTCAGAGCTGTAACAATTATATGAAGCGTGACCCTGTAATTTTGAGATTCAAAGTATTAGAGCACCAAAAGTAGAAAAAAAAACTCCGTCCTCGTTAAGGAGTGTGGTCGCTTAACGTTAATTGAGCTCCCTCAGTGGCGCATCTTCCCAGTACATGAACATAAGTCTGATATTTCTTTCCTAGATATCTTTTAAGTGGATTATTGAATGGTAAAGCATAAATGGCATGCAACTAGGCAAAGTCACAATATTGCAAAAGTTCGATATCCAACTTGAAAATTTAAGGAAATGATGGAAAATAATCATAATTTTCCGGCCAAGATTGTCAAATTTCAAGAATAAAATAACAAATTTCTATTAAAAGAAATAAAAACATGAAGAGGGAAAAGATATAGCATAAAATCATAATCCATGATCTGTAATTTGAAGTTCTCATATCATTACTTAAACCCTTAAACCCATTTAGAAGGGTATACCAAGTGTTTTTTTATAAGGTTGTATGAGAGAGTGTTTGTACATGTCTGCATAACTCAGCATAAATTGATTGTACAATTTAATGTTGATGGCAGATTATCCGAAACTTGTAAGGACATAAAGTCTAGGTCTGTCTATGTCATTTGGCGAATGGCTCAATACATAAAACAATTAACACTAACATTTAAAAGCTAAATGCTCTCTCTAATCGTTTGTCAAGCATCTTCCGCCTCAATCTCTCCATTACAAATTTCCAAAACAATATATAATATCAGATTACATAAAGGTACAACCAAGCCAGTTGGGGAAATTGAAGGAATCCTGTTTTCTTTGTCTATTAGGCCTCACAGATATTGCTTTAATTCTTTTGTCAAATCCGAGTTCTTTTTGCCATGAAGACCAGCATGTATGTTTGTTTGACATTCCAGTAAGAGGGAAGGATGGAGGCATATGAAGTCTTTGACAAGAAGATACAAGTCCGGTGAAGTACTTATCAAAAAAAAAAAAGTCCCCTGACTTCACAAAATTTAGATTTTTCTTTTTATCTTTATTCCGGCAAATAATTAATTTAGATTATTCTTAGTAAATGTTATTTCATGAAAAAGGCTCATCATACTTGGAAATATGTATGAATGTCCTATTTTTAAGCTGAAAACCATATCCTAGTGAGAAAATTTGTTTGTTAATAAAAATAATAGTAAAAATTAGTGGTTAATGATCCAATCAATGTATAAATAATGGGTATCCTGGATTACTAATTATTAGACGATAGATTGTAACACATTGAAGAAGTAGTAAACATTATCAGTTATAAGCCATTAGTTGCTGAGGGGGGAAATGTGGGAAATAGAAAAATATGACAATTAGAAATCTTATACTTTTCATTAGTTCAAAGCCCTAAAAAAACAAAAACAAAAAAATCCGCTTTCCTGCCTATAATACAACTATTTGACATCAATGAGGAAAATTTATCAGTTCTTAAAAACCAATTAGACACAAAACTCCAAGTCCTCAGGTTTCTCGGCAACCCATCGTGGTATCAACAACAGGTTCTATAACATACAATAATCCATTCTTAGAGCCTAATTAATGCTCTAGAGTGAATGGCTGCTACAAGTGGGAAAATCTAAACAACAAATTCAAAATACAAAAATCAATTCTTGAAGCCAAATTAATACTCAGGGGCATATCTCAATCTTACAAACCCCCTCTATTACTGTAGTTGAAGTAAATTGATAATTTTCTTGAAGCCGACATCAAAGGGAACATTAACATTAGACTTCTTGTTTCATTTATCAAACATTTTATCATTAAGAAAACAAATGAATAAGGTTGTAAAGTATTATATAACAACTGAACTAATCAGTTATGAAATTATTAGAATAAAACCCTAGCCTGCACTTCCATTTTATGTCAAAACAAGGTCAGCCCAAGTTTGAAAAATAGAAGTTGAATCAAAGTTTACAACAAACACCCAAAATGGGATTGATATCCGAGGAAACAAAATGACAACAAAATAAACATATTTATCTATATATGTTGAAATAGAAAAACTTTCATACCTGTAGGGTACAAGATGTCAACAAGGAAAAGGGCTTTGAACTGCAATTATTTGACGGTTGTCAGCGAACCTAAAATGGATAAAATGAGAGAGAGAGACTGAAAAATTGGGATGGAGGGGATGTATGTTGTGGGGTGGGGTGGGGGTGGGGTGGGGGGAAGTTTTATTTCTTAAAGACTCTAAAACCCTGTTTTTTATCTCTCTATATATATCCGTATCTACACGTATATATCTATATATACCTACAAAATGTATGATATGATTAACTGCCGCGTCGCTGTCGAGCGCGAACAAGCGGCCTTTAATCGTTAGACGTGAACCCATTTAGGGTTCGTCGCATTTCATGTTGTAGGGTTGCTCAATTTTTGCACTTGTGTCCCAGATTTTCCTATATATATGTATTTCTATTTTACTTAATATATTTTTCCAAAAAAAATTAATAAAAATATTTTTCTATTTATTAAGTGATTATTTTGTTTTCAAATTTGAACATACATCTCGTGCTATTAAAAAGTTGTTGCGATTTTTAAATGATAACAATTAATAACTTATATTTGCAGAGCTAATTGAAAATGTATATTTAATTGAATTAAAGTTCAGCTTGTGTTTAAGAAAAATGTTACCTCCCTTTAATTTAAAACCAACCTCCTATGATATATATGATAAGGATTTTGTTTTATCCTGTTCTCATCAATAGAAAATAATTTTTAAATAATTACATATATATATATATATATATATATATATATATATTGAACTTTGTGGCTTTTATATGGATTTTAGAACCAATTTTTTAATTTTTTTTTATTCTTAAACTCGAAACTTTTAGAACAACTAATCCAAGCATGGTTTATATTTCTAGTTCTATTGTTGTGCATGTGTGCACTTGCATATATATATTTTTAACATATCATTTTCTACCCACTCGATATGATCAACTTTAAGCAAATATGAGTGTGATTCAATGATGTAGATTAGTTGTATCATCATATGTACGTTACCTAAATAGATTCGTTTAGCAGATACATGGTACTTTTATAATCCAATTTGTCTCTTCTTCATTTTGTTCGTTCTCTCATATGCATGAGAGAACTGAATAGGAAATGCGAATCCAACAACAGAGGAAATTCTTGACGGTGTTTTCATTTTTATTTTTTTTCTTCCTTTTATTTCGTTATGGTATAGAGTGGTGGGCCCGGTGGGTTGTGCATTTAGGAAAAATTATTCCGGTTGATTCTATCAATTACTAAGCAATACATATAAATAAAAAAATTGATTGATAATGATATAAAATTAACACATTTACTTATATTCAGTTTCATAATTGATCATTTATATACATTTAAACTACTATAACATTTTACAAAGAAGTCCATATCAGCATCTAACCCTTAAAAAATTAACAAAAGATCTTAAGAAAAACTTTCAGAATTAAAAAATACGTGTTTAAGTCATTGGTCCAACATAATTTTCAATATTAAAAAAAATAAATAAATAAGACCCATGTCTTTTCTTTCTCTGGTGTGTCCCATATAAAAGCAATGAAAACCTATTTATTTTTATTTTTTTCATAATTATAAAACTTATTTATTGTTTTGATTTTAAAAAAAATTATTGTATCATTGTTAATGGTTGCCTCTTTGAAGTAAATTATTGATCACGTCAGTTTTAAATAAAAATTTATGCACGATTTTCTTAAATTAAAGGGACATTGCTCACCCATGTCATTACAGCAAGATCAGGGGAAGGGAAGGACTTGGACAGTTTTAGAACCTGTCTGGTTTGTAATTCTGAAAATAGTTTTTAATAATCCAGAAAACTGTTTTTAAAGAATTATGAAAAACAATTATAAAAAACAGTTATCTGAAAATAAAATTTTTTTATAACTGAATTTTCAAATAAATGAAATAAACAAAATTTTATATACAATTTTTTGTTTTCAGTTTTTAGAATATAGAAAAGTGTTTTCAGAATTACAAACTAAGTAAACCTTAACATTTTATTGATATTTCACAAAAATAAGGTTTGTTTGATTTGTAACTATAAAATGGTTCTCAATAATTTAGAAAGAAAAATCTTTAATAGTTATCTGAAAACAGATATTTGTATACGGAGTTTTCATAAAATTGAACCAAACAGAATTTTTTGTAAATTTTTTTATTTTTATTAAAAATAAAAAATAATTTCTATAATTACAAACTAAGCAGAGTAATAGCTTGTCTAAGATTGGAGCTTGTCTAAGATTGGAACTTGTACCAATGACACCAATACTAACGCGTTAAACCGCTAAACCAAACAACTCCTCTTCTATCATTAAATCATTCAACCACAATTGTAGACATCTAATTGTCTATACGTTCTAAAGTGTGCTTTACTAATGAGATGGATAAAATTGATTGAATATTTTTCACAAAAAATTGAAAATAAATACAGTACATTCATAAGAAGCTCACATCCTTCAAATCTTATTTCTAAGGAATTCGTGTAGTCTCTCCTCAAGGTCAAATGCTTTTAGGGATGGAGAAACATACTTTAGGAAACGAGCCTTTTTTGGCAAAAGGCAAATAATTCGAGGGTTAATTTATGAAAAAATTATTACATAGTCCCGTATGATATGGTTCTGACGGATCAAAATTTGATGGGTAAATTTTTTTTTTTTCAATAAAACAGACACATTTGTCCAATTAGGCCATATGGGGGAATGTAGGTGAAACTATTGAACACTTTTTGGTTGAATGTGGAGTCTCAAAAGGGTTGGTTCCATGTCTGGTCAGGTGTTCCCAATGCCCTTTGAGCAATGGTACTTCTCCGCACAGGAGTTTATACACAAATTAATGGGCTCTCTCTAAGTCTAAGCCGTATCAACAACTAGGTCTCAGATAAATGGATAAGGACCATGTGGTCTTCCAAGGCCCAAATCTTTAAATCCTCTTCATTCCACCTCTACTTGGAATCCCAAACCTTGGGACCATAATTGTTTGTGAACCCAAATTTATGGCACTTTGAACCTGGAAAATCTCTCATTCGCGAGTCCATTGTTGGTATAAAAGAGAGAGAATAAAAGTGGAATGATTTTGATGGAACAACTATTTTCGAAGAAAGGTGAAGAATGAGCATTCCATCTTTAAAATTACTTTTCAAACAAAAAAATAAAATTAAAAACATTTCATTCCATTTTATTTCATTCCCACCTACTCACCCAAAATGAATAATACCATTCACAACTAAACAACCAAATCTAATCACTGCATAAAAGAAGTGATGAAGATCGTTGGGTCTAGTTGGTACAGTATCTGCCTCTTTAAATAGATATATCTTAATTTGTCAGGAAAACAAAAAATTATTTGTACATTTATGTGATCACATACCACGTGTCACCTTATCATTGCTTGTTTGTTCACCAAAGCTAATGTTCTACTAATACGGTCAAACTATTGACTACTTTAGAGTTTAGGCTGACAAACATAACTTGATTTTTTTAAGTTATCTGACAGAATATTTCGTAACACAGTATATAATTTGTGCAATGATTGAAACATCTGTCATATATAATTCCATATTATCATTTCATTCACTACGAGATAAGTAAGATATCCGATCTTCTTGCTTTTACAGTAGAACCAAATCAATATCATATTTGTTTTTTTGTATTGATTTATAAATCATGCAGTCATGGATCAAATGCTCAATGCGTATCCAACTCTTTGTGGAGAAGCATCAAAGTTTTTCTGATTTTAATAAATATATATATATTAAATAAATTTCTAACTTTAATTTTAGCTTATTTATTTATTTTTGTAAAAAACAATTTTATGGCAATAACATCCAAAATCCACAATGGCGTACACATACATTGCATCTAAAAAGGATGACGTTAAATATAGTCTCGTTTATATTTCTTATATAATTCTGTATTGCATTGAACTTCTATTATAATGTGATTAAGAAAGATGACACTGGTACTTTGATTTCGCGCGCTCTTACATTTTGCTTTTTTTTTTTTTTTGATATAAAATCACAAAATTGTTTCTAATAGAATTTGCACACTTTCTTTTATTTATGTTAAAAGTACTTACTTCTACATTCATTTTTACAAAACAATTACAGTATACTCAATATTATTTAGAGTTAAAATATTTAATTATAATATACATACACATGGTATTATGCTTATCGTGCATATCGCACCTCTTGTATGCGAAAAACATCCCTAATATATCAAATTTGTGCAAATAGGTCATATCGACATATTTAAAGTAGAGTTAGACAAAAATGCCCTTACCATGACATTTTATAAAAAATACAAAAAAAAAAAAAAAAAAAAAAATCATTTTGTAAAATGACTGAAAAGTACTTTGTGCAACCAACCCCCAAAGAGATAATATGCTACTAATCTCATAATAAAGGGGTGTTATGTGCACATGAAATGCAATATTTTATTTTTTTATTTTTAGAATTATTGAATTACGATTCATTACCAAAATTATTGCACATGAAATGCAATAATAAATAAATTCTTTTTTATTTATACCCTCAATATATATTTATTTATTTTGGTGAGATATTTGTATTTAAGCTAGGATTATTTATGTTGAACTAAAAAAGATTTTCAAATGAGATTGAATTTAAAAATATATATCGTAGAATTTTTTTGACAATTCATACTCGAAATAAATAAATAAATAATTATTGCATTTTATGTGCAATAATTTGGTAAAGAGTAGGAATTCAATAATTCCAAATGTGACAATTATAAAGAATTCAATAATTAAAAAAAAATTATTGCATTTTGTGTGTTCACAATACTCCTTTATTATGAAATTAGTAGCATATCTATCTCATTGGACATTTTCAAAAGAGTAAAAAAGCAAAACAGATATTATAACACTAATTTATGTCAGATTTTTTATTAAGGATACTTTCGCATAATGTAATAAGAATAAGAATATTTTTTATACACTTTTTAAAATATAAATAAAAATACTATGCAAAATATGCAGAGTATTTTCTGCACTTCACTAGCGGCCCATTTGTTTGTACACTAATTATAGAATCAAACTTTGTGTAGGTTACCATGAAGTTGTGGTTTTGAACAACCACGTGGCTATCAATTAGTGGATTGCTCGGCTGTGCTTGCAAGATGCATGAAGAAAAAAAGAAAAAAAAGAAAAAGAAAAGTTGCAGTTGAGTGAAATTAGCACTATAGATGTATAATATACCAATAATTCAATAAATCTATATATGTGTGTATATACACACATATATACATATACATATAATATGCATATTTGGTCGGTTTATGTGAAGTGGGTGATGTATGAAATTTGGAAATTGGTTTATGTTGTTCGATTTTGCTTTGTCACTATGATAGATGTGGAGCCCAAATTAACATGAAAATGGCCGGTGTTTGAGTTGTCATGAATCTCATGATAGCTAGGGTTGCACGAGAAAATTTGGATAACGCATTGGAATGTTAGGTGCAGAGCCTAGAAATATAGGTTGCGTGGTTAGGTCACATGGTCCCAATTCATGTGTCATGTGACCTTGGAATTATTATCCACCTTGATTGAAGGGTATGCACGTATTTTGAAAACATAAATAGTTATATTTTGAAAATATAGATAACGGTATGAAATATGGGTACAATATAATACAAAACAGACACATCAATTTGTATGGATAATATATATTTTTTACCATCTTATTCATGTAATTATTAATTTGGAATTTAGAGTTACATGTTTGGCATTTTTGTTTTTTTAAATTTTATATTATGTTTTTTTAATTAACTCATAATATATTTTAAATTGAATTGAATTTCTTTTTTTAAAAAAAATATAATTACAAAATCACTTGTCTTGTATCATAAAAATTATTCAACATGTATTTTTGTTTTGTCAATGTCTTGTCAGATCAAAAAATAAAATATTTATTATTCAAGGCACTTTTAATCTTGTCTGACATGTGTTCTAACTGTATTCATAAATTCAAAAAAATATTTGAGTGCTTGACAACGCCACATAAGTATCCGTGCATCCTAGACGCAAACCAATTATGATGGCGAAAATGGAAGAGATGCTACTTTAGTGAAAAGTGTAGGACTAATCAAATTTTACATTTAAAAAGAAAGGAGTACTGCAAAAAAGAAAAGAAAAAAAGAAGTTGGTTGAACGGAGGGAGGGAATGTCAATATATTTCAATAAAAAGTGTTCACATTTTTATTTTTAGTTGTTCCAAAATTGTTATTTTAATTCAACATTTAATATATTATGTTTTTAATATTTCTAATTTACTCTTTTTGTCCTGTAGTAAGTATTTAAGTCGCATAGCTCTCATACTCCACTTGTATTGCTGCTCTTGCACATGCTAATGCTCTCGATCCCACTATGCGACTTAAATTTTGTCGCTTTCACTCTTCCACTCTTGCATTTGCTCCCCTCATACATCCGTTTTGTATGTGTTTAGGTCTTCAAGTTAAAAAAGCAATCAGAGCCGTGTGACCTACCATAAAATAGCTATAATAAAAATAAAATTATAAACTCTACTCTAAATTTTCAAATGGTAACAAATTTTGTGAGACAAAGTAACAAATACTCCCTTTGTTATTATAAAAAGTATTTAAAAATAAAACCGTGTATAATTTGTCCAAAACTCAAATAAAGTCCGTCTAGTTTACCTAATAACCTTGATTTTGGGTATTTTGGGCTTCATATTTGATTTATGCTCCGTACCAAACAAGGCATTGTCATTTAAACCGTTGGAGCGTGACAGACAATCCCGGGGCTTCGCGCTAAAATCCATAATTTTAATTCTTTTTATGCTGCCAGCCTGTCGCTTTCTCGACGGCTCCTCCTAAAAGCATCAACTTCTCTGGACCACATATTTTCATTTTCATTTTTCTTTTCCTTTTCTTTTTCTCTGTTCAAATTATTACAGCCACAGTTTAAAAAAAAAAAGGAAAACCCTTCTGAATTATACTCCCTTTAATTGTTTTAAATTATTTTTTAAAGACTCTTTACTATTGTGAACAATTAAAATATTAAAAACAAATTTAACTGTGTTTAATCTTATTAGGATCATATTAAAAGTACAGCTTATCACACTACTAAGTGATAATTTGATCATCATTTGTAAACAAACAATAATCTTTCCATTAACTACATGTAAAAACAGAACTTAAATAATTTGTATTTTTTTTTAATATGTCATTGACAAAAAAACTCATACACATCACTTACACACCTATTTTACTTTTTTAAAGACTCAAACTTTCATCATTTAATTTAAAAGATAAAAGACATATCACTAAACTATTTTAAAAGGGTAAAATAATGTGTTTTATTGATCCTTGAGTTATAGTATATGATATTGTAAGATTATAATTTGAGGATTTTAAAGTGTATATGTGAGTAATAATTTTAAGATCTAAAGGTCCATAATGGTCAATCCAAGTGGTATAATGGTCCATAATGGCACAGCTTTTCTTTTTGGCACAGCATATTAAATTATTCCATAACTTAAAATATTTGAAAAAGTAAGTAAAAGTTTCAACAAAAAGTTAATGGACAGCTCATCATCTTCACCAGCACTACTTGTCTCATCTTTTTGCTCTTTCCAGAAACATCTCTCCCTTATCTCACTGGCAAAACTTCCATATACTCATTGGATTAGAGCTTAAATACATTATCTTTTTGTTCCTTGAGCTACTAAAACATTATCACCGTGCTTATTATACAATTATATACACACACATTTATACATACACATATATTGTAGTACCATAATGTATGTTATATTTAAAACATGTACCTCCTAGCTCACTAGGTCACGCTACTAGACCCTTCACTGAAAAAAGTATGGGCCCACTTTTGTAACATGATCTCCAATGCTTTTAATCTTCACTAGTACTGTAACTTTTTAGTTGTGCGATCTATTTTTTTTTTTTTTGACCTTTTTTTTAAAAAAATTCAAATAAAAAGCACTTAATAACTTACCCATATTGACTCTATAAAGAGGCTCACTTTTGTACATCCAATGCTTTTAACATGCTCAGTAACTTTTAATTGTGCAATATTTCTTTCTCAATTTTTTTTTTCCTTAAAAAATTAAAGTAAAAACACACAAACGCTTACATTAATATTAAGAACTAATTATTTATAATTTTAATTGAACTTCGAAATGTGACAGCGCAAGGGTATTGTAAATACAATGGTCCAAGGGCGTGATTGATATTATGAAAACCTAACAGGATTAATTTAATACAGAACTAACTACTCCATTAACATTCTCTATAAATACATAACTTGCCATTTGTTGCCATTACCAACATACATTACATTTTCTTCTTGCCATCTCGAAGTTTCTGGGTGTAGAGAGAGAATGGAGGGGAAAGAGGAAGATGTTAAGCTTGGAGCAAACAAGTACTCAGAGAGGCAACCTCTGGGGACCTCAGCACAGACAAAGGACTACCAGGAGCCACCACCAGCTCCACTGTTTGAGCCAGGAGAGCTGCAGTCATGGTCCTTCTGGAGAGCTGGGATTGCAGAGTTCGTGGCCACTTTTCTCTTCCTTTACATCACTGTTTTGACTGTTATGGGTGTGGTCAAGTCTCCTACCAAGTGTGCCACTGTGGGTATACAGGGAATTGCTTGGGCTTTTGGGGGCATGATCTTTGCCCTTGTTTACTGTACTGCTGGAATCTCAGGTATATATATACACACACACACACACACGCACACGCACACATATATATTCATGTTGTGATGATGATCTTTGGTTTGATCTATGTAGTGGTACATTTTTTTGTCTAGTTTTATGGTGTTATTTTTTCAGTCTTTTTTGGTCCCCTGCATGTGACACAGGTTCTGATCTCTGTTTTTCTCTCCTTTGATCTGATCTCTGTTTTTACTTGGTCCCTTTTTGTTTTTTTTTTCCTTAAGGAACTATCATCTATGTAAAGTTTCCATTTTTTTTCTTTATGTGCTTCTCTCTATTTTTACCGAGACAAGTTGAATAAAAATAATGAATAAGTTGAAATTTATATCTTACTGTATGTTTTTTTTTTTTTTTTAATCGGAGAAAACTGTCATCAGTAGGCTGTACAACCACAGTAATAATAATTTTAGACTGGTCGTGTTTGGCATGCGTTTTTGTTTATGTTGTTTTTATTTTTGGATTATTACAGTGTTGATTTTGGAAATAAGAACATATTTGGTGTTGTCTTGTTTTATTTAGTGCGAAAATACTTGGTGAAAATCATTAGTATTTTTTGATAACGGTTCATGGTCCAAAATCATAATAGCGTAAGACGGGTTAAAAATAAAACGCCTAAAACATAGTTCTCAAACGTACACCCAATTTTTTTTTTTCAAAATACCCCTAAACAAAAATACTGTTTTTGTTTTAACCAAAAACAAAACTTCTAAAAGAAAGCACATGCCAAATGGACTCTCATTTTAAAGAGTTTCTAAACAGTATATTTGGTTGAGTTTTTTAAGAATAATTTTCCTGATAACTCTCAAAAGAAAACTGTTTGATTGGATTCTGAAAACTATAAAAAAAAAATCAGATTGGTTGACAGTTTCCGAAAGCCCACTTATATGAAAGGTCTCATTTATAATTTTCTGAAAGTAGTTTTCTGATTTCTTAGATAATTGAACAAGCAGGGCCTTAATTACTTTTATTCTTTCCTTGCATTTTATTTTATTTTATTTTTTAACAGCAACTAAACAAAGACCATTTGTTCTTATCAGCCTTTCAAAATTTCTTAACATTTGCTGAGACAATTAATTCCCAACACTGATGAGTCATGTTTATGGGTTTATTTAGGTGGACACATAAACCCTGCAGTGACATTTGGTCTACTACTAGCAAGGAAATTGTCCCTAACCAGGGCAATCTTCTATATTGTGATGCAATGCCTCGGTGCAATCTGTGGTGCCGGTGTCATCAAAGGCTTCGAGAAATCTCAGTATGGGATGTTGGGTGGTGGAGCTAATGTTGTGAGCCCTGGCTACACCAAGGGTGATGGACTTGGTGCTGAGATTGTTGGTACTTTTGTTCTTGTCTATACCGTCTTCTCCGCAACCGATGCCAAGAGAAATGCTAGAGACTCCCATGTCCCTGTGAGTATTCTCTTTACAATTAATTTTTTCTAACTACATCTGTGTGTTGAGCATTCTGGTTATGCTAAGCAGGACCGAATTTTATTGTGGGTTTTTGTTTATATTATTGTTCGTTTAGAAATGTTGATTCTAATTTTAGGTCCTTTGATTCTTTCAAGCTTATATGTCGTACTTGGTTTGGGTTGAGAGAATTGGAGAGAAAGAAAGTAGAGGTGGAGGAGGAGGAGGAGAAGGGATAACTTATCTTGTGTCTGTTTTTAACGTGAAGAGAGAAAGAAGAGGATTTGGGGGGATAGCTTAGCCCTTTGTGTAATGCTTGGAAGGATTTAAAAAGAAAGCATAGGAGAGTTATTAATAACTCTAATTTTTTTTTTTTTTTTTGAAGGATAACTTATCTTGTATTTGTTTTTAACAAGAAGAGTGAAAGAAGAGGATTTGGAGGGGTAGCTTAGCCTTTGTATAATGTTTGGACGGATTTGAAAAGAAAGTATAGGAGAGTTCTTATTAATTACTCGAATTTCCTTTATTTTCCTTTCCTACTTTCCCAAACAGCCGCCAATAAAATATGATACTAAATAGTTACAATGTGCAAGTTTTTCTTTGTTCAAGGAAAGGTAGATTTAAGGACCTTTGCTTAAATATTTGAACAATGGTGGTTGGAAATATTTATGTCAATGTGTTTAATAGTTAATTACCAATGGTTTGATATGATATCTTCTCTTCTCTTCTCTTCTCTTTTGGATACATTAAATGGATTTTGATAATTTTGTTTGTATGTAGATTTTGGCACCTCTACCAATTGGGTTTGCAGTGTTTTTGGTTCACTTGGCAACCATCCCCATCACAGGGACTGGCATCAACCCTGCCCGGAGTCTCGGAGCTGCCATTATTTACAACAAAGATCATGCCTGGGATGACCATGTAAGTTTTAATAATGATAATTTGCTTCAATTCTTGGGATATAATGTTTTGAAATTATGTTGATATTTAAACATTTATTTTTTAACTTCAGTGGATTTTCTGGGTTGGACCCTTCATTGGAGCTGCACTCGCCGCACTTTACCATCAGATAGTCATCAGAGCCATTCCCTTCAAGAGCAGATCCTGAAAGATCATTTTCTTCTGTTCTTTTTGTTTATTGAAGTCTCTCTTTGTATCCATGTTGCGATGAGGTTCCAATTTTAAGGTGTTGCTTGTGTATAAGATACTGGTTTGTATGAACTATGTCTAGCTTTATGCATCATATGATTGTTTTTCATAGGATCTTTGTGCTACTATATATATTTGGCAGTAAATTATATGGTGAGCTGAATTATGGTTTTAAATTTTTTCTTCCAAATTCCTCAATTGAGCATATCTGATTCTATTATATTTAAATTTCATTCTGCTTTCATTTTATTTATACCGGCCACGTGAATTTTAGATGTTTTCTGGATGATTTGTTGTACAGAGCTTTTAAATAGAATGTAATCTTTCTGAAAAAAAAAGAAGAAAGAAAAAAAAAACCTCATATCAACCTGAAAATCTTTATGTATAGTGCAGATGATATATAAACCATGTCCTTTTTAATTCCTTGTGTCTCTTTGGTGCTACTTTCATTTTGTAGCTACTCTAACATGATGATTCTATGGTGTTTGTTGGCTGGTTAAGATTTGTTGAACTTACAATGATGTACTTGTTTTGAGGTTTTGCTTAGGCTTGAGTTGTTTTGAAAGATCTCATAACACCATTTCTTGTTGGACATTAATAAAAGACTTCGGCTGTTGCTACAACGATTTGAAGCTGACCAAATTTCAGGCTCATAAGTTTGAGAATATACAAGTCTTAAGTACAAGCTTAAGCAATTTTGTGCAAAATAATGCTAGGTCAAGTGTTCGTAATCTTTTCCCCAGGTTTTGCTTGGCCTTGAGTTGTTTGAAAGGTCTGATGACACTATCACTGGACATGGGTTATCTTAGAACAATTGATTAGAATTCAGTAAATGTCATTTTTTCACAAAATAATACTAAAAGCTAGGTCTCTCATATTCTTTAGTATCTTCTACCTATATAGGACATTTGTGTCTTTGTTCCAAAGTTGCTTTTGGCCTACCAAATGGTCAATAGTCCAGATGGTACAAATTTGGCTTCTCCAAAGAAGAAGTCCGGGTTCCCTGCCACGAAACAAACATCTTACTCTAACTTCTCTTAAAATTAGACTTAATTACACTCGGAATTAAACTTTTTTACAAAAGTTAACTTTAACAAAGACAATGGACAACCATGTCCCATTTTTTCTTTTAGATTTATAAAATTAGCAGCAAAAAAAAAATAAAAATAAAATAAAAAAGGAAAAGGAAAAGGTTTTTGTCCTACACATTTAACCATCATAAGATTGGCATGAGACTCCCACTCGAGAGACAGCAACTTCATTTCAACTCTATACGGACATTATTGTTAAAAGGTATTCACACACAAAAGAATTTATAGAATAAATAAAAAACAAACAAAAGGATTTTACTTTTTTACCCCCAACATAAAATAAATAAATAAACGAAAGGAGAAGATGAAGAAAGTATCGAAAGGGTCTCCCTCTCTACATTTTGACCCTTATGAGATGTAACGACAACATAAACCGACAAAAGCACTATGTTTGTGAAAAAGTCCATCCTTTTTCGTATTCAAAGAAGTCAAACAGTTCAGGGCATTAAGGATCCATGTGACCTTAGTAGCCCCACAACCTCCATGTACATGAAAGCCACTTCAATTGCTCTTAATGAGACTCATGGGTTGGGTTGGGTTGGGTTGGGTTGGGTTTGGTCTCCCCTAACCAATCATAATTCATATCCACAAACCACCAAACCCATTTATGCCACACCCACCACCCCATCAATTCCACCACCACCAGTACCACCCTCACTAACTGCATTATAACCACCGTTAAATTTAACGGCCGGAACTTCTTCTCCTCCATTCAACTCATATTCTCTCTTTCTTCTAAAAGTAATGCTTGCCACAACCGCGGTTAAGTCTCTAGGGTGCACATTAACTTTAAGTCCATACTTCATGAACAACGTCAACGACATCTTTTGCTCCACCTTGTGGCCCGGCACCACCGTGAGCCGGTGCCGGAGTAACACCGCCGCCGCTATCGACTTCATTTGCAAATAAGCCAAGTCCTTCCCTAAGCATATCCTTCGACCGGCATTGAAGGCCACGAATTTGTATGAGTCATGCGCTATGAATTGCTTATCATCCGTCGACAACCACCTTTCCGGGCGGAACTCGAGGCAGTCCTCGCCCCAAGTGGACTTCATCCGGCCCACTGAGTATATTGAATATGTAACCGATGACCCAGACGGCACAAAAGTTCCGTCCGGCAACACATCATCGGCGATGACATGCTTCGAGTCCTCCGGCACGGATGGGTATAGACGGAGGGTTTCGGACAACGCAGCTTTCAAATAAATTAGACGGTCAATTTCTTCAAATCCTAGTGGCTCTTCAAACCATGATGATGCATCTTCACCACGTGTCTCCATCAGAACCGTGCAGATTTCCACTAAGATTTTCTCTTCAATTTTTGGATTTTGGATGACCAACCAAAAGAACCAGCTGAGTGCCGCTGATGACGTGTCACGTCCAGCTAGGATGAAATTAAGTGCCACGTGTTGCAAGAATGTATCTGTGTATGATTCCTTTTTCTTCATGAACCTTGAAAGCAAGTCATCGTGAGGGTTACCACCCTTGTGCTGACTTGTCAGCTCAAGCTTACGTGTGTTGATGACATTGGACAGATACTTGTCCACGTGCACAAGGCTCCGGCTCAAGCTGACCTCCATTCCGAGCCCAAGCCATTTCTTGAGCTTCCACAAGACCTCAGGCAAAATAAACCGCTGCAGCGACGCCTCAGTGGCTCGGTCGAAAGCCGTAGCAAAAAGGTTCTCAGGGAGGCCCGGAGCTAGGGTTTGCGGGTCCTTCCCGAAAGCCAAGCCACAAATGTTGTCAAAAGTGAGCCGGAGTAAGAGGTCCTGAAGGTCAACTGGCTCGGCCTGGTGCTGAGCCGTCTCAAGTATCGGACAGAGCCGGAGACTTATGGCTCGGCTCACCCATCGAGCCATGGCTTGGCGGAGGGTCCGGGTTGTGAACTCGAGAGCAGCCGTCCTCCTCTGGAACAGCCACGTGTCACCATCGGAGTTGAAGATCCCTTCGCCAAGTAGATCATGAAACACAGCTTGCCAAGTCGGACCCTTAGGATAATTGTCGAAGCGGGTCTTCAGTATGTGTTCCAGATTCTTGGGGTCGCACGTGACAGTCACGAGACCTTGCTTCCGAGCCAAGAAGGGTATGGCACAGATACAGGTCTGGTAAGTGCCACCACAGGCGCGAAGATTATCAGCAATCCACTCGTGCATGCGATCGCAGTTCTCGATCAAGCCCGGCAAACTACCCAATAAAGGCCAGACACGTGGACCCCTCAACGAGCGTGAGATGAAGGTGAACCATAGCAGATAAGCAGTGACGGCAGTGAACAATAGCAAAGCTAAAGACACATCCATAACCCACCTTTTAATTTTCAGGGATACACAGAAAATTTCTGAAAGTTAAAAACTTCACCAAGCTTACCTTGAAAGAGTTAATATATATATTGGCAAAAAAATGAAGACCCAGGTCGTGTTTTGAGCAACAATGGTAGTGGGTGGGTTTAACAGAGCACCATTGAAGAAGAAAAAGAAACTAGAGAGAGAAAGAGAGAGATGGGAGAGAGAGTGCGAGATGTAGAAAATGGAGAATAGAGGGGATTTATAGGTGAAAAGACGTTGAAAAGCAATAAGTAAGGCCAGACTGTTCCTTGAATTTCACCAACACATTTCTCACTCTCTCTCTAACCATCAGATGCACCACCATTAATGCACTCTGAGGTCGTTGAAAACTTGAGGTAAAAAGTCACGCATCTCTCTCTCACAAACCATTATGGCAAACCGCAACATGAGGGTCTCTGATCCATGTCCAACCCAAAACCATTCAAATCTCTCTCTCTCTCTCTACAAATTAACTCTTTTCTCTCTCTCTACAACCAATTCTGCAGGAAAAGGAGCTGGGTCTTTAAATTCAAGCTAGCATTGAATGAAGAGAATTAAATGAGATTAGTTGAGAAAGTATAAGAGACGTAGAGGGAAAAGGCAAACTGAAATAAAATGGAAAAACAGGTGACACAGTGGGTGTAATGTGTTTGTGTGTGTGTGTGTCTCTAACTCTTTACAAACTTGTGTTACATAGTATAATATATATATATATATATATAGGTTAATAATTAATATAAAAATGTTAAATGAAGAATATATGGGTTTGATATATACTTGGTGCATGCATAAGGATTGAGGAAGGGTTGGGGTTAGGGTTGGGTGAACGGACTCACCAACAATTTTAAAAAGTGGTCCGAATGGGAGATAGAGCTAATTGCTCAGGTTACGTGACCTTTATCAGTTTATCCTTCTACCTCCAAACTCATCATCTCTGGACACTATCAGAGTTTTAATTCATAGAAGTTTTGACTTTCTTTAATGCCATTTTTCTACTGCATGTGCAAAAAGTCAACTGGGCGGGATGAATTTTTTTTTGGGAAGAAACAACCTTAGCTGATTGGGGAATTGGGCCATTTGCATTGCCACGCGGTTTTCATCACAATTCATCACAAATATATCAGTTTATATATATATATATATGCGTGTGTGTGTGATTGTGTGTATATACTATGATTCGGGGTATTTGATACGCGTATGGGTCGATACACGACCATTTTTTAAGTCAGTTGTAAGGTATCGATCGATACACGACTTCTTTTAAAGTCAGAAACGCAACTCGTCTGGGCTAGTTTATACCGAGTCTGTTACACGTGACCGATACTGCAAACCATGATATATACAACAGAGAAAAAATGTTAGCCAATTAAACTTTGAGTTTCAATAATTGTTCAAATTGTATCACAAGAGAGGTTTAGTTAACATTTTAGATGAATTAATAAGAAGTATTTTAAGTTAGTGACCTAACTCACTCACTCCTAACTCCTAAGTTGGAGTGATTATTATGGTTTTGATCACAGGGATTGACCATTTGAACTTAACATCGATATTTTTTGCAATATGATTTTACAATTACCACAATAAACTTTTCTACTCATTTGTTAAATGAATTTGAAATGAAAAGTGAGATCCATTTCATATCTTGTATTAAAATCATTCTACTTAATTGGATTTTACTTGGTAATTAGATCTGGAAAGGTTTTACACAGAATTAAGTTTAATTAAGATTCGATTATCCTTTTGAGTGCAAATAATTTTTTAAGGTAACGTACACAGCTGACAGTCCAAAATTTATTCAACTCATGAGAAGAAAGCACTTTATACAGCGTCTCCAGAAATTTTTTTTTTTTTCCGAAAGGTAAGTAAGTATTGTATTGATAAAAGAACTTTACAAGGCTTTCCAAAAGTCGAAAAGAAAATCACATAGATGATTGAATGAATAAATAACTTAAAAAGAAAACCTTGGTGATCATTATTGGTATGGCAGATGAACTATGCAAGAATTTTTATGGTGGATCTTGACCAAGCTAGCTAGGAAAGAAGTTAGTAGGCCATACTGAGACCACCAAATCAAGGGAGGGGGGCTTGGAGACTCCTACACTCAAAACTGACAACACAGCTAGCTCGCTTGGTGCTGGTTTTAAATATGCATTAGACACCCAAGTGGAACCTTTAAATACACCAAAGAATGAAGTGCCTAACAAGTAATGCTATTGTTGAGCCAAAAACCTTGTGGGTCCCTTAAGTACAATTAGGTTGAGCCAATATATGTTCACCAGGATAAAATATTAAAGTTCAGTGCATTATTGAATTAATCACCAAGTTCCATTCCCTGCATATATATATATTCACTTAATTAATTACTTTTTTTTTTTTTCCTTCTTTTTTTGTTGGGTATTTGACACCCACCCCACCTATAAAAAAAAATAAAAAAAACAACTGCAACTCAATCCACACATACCCAATATGGCAATATTATCCCAAGAGAACTTGAACTTTGCATATTCTTCTAAAACTAGAGTTGAAGTTAACATCCATCTTCTGAAAGCAAGAAAATAGACTAATAATGAACCTTTTCAGGATAGAAATAAATCTTATATTAAATTTTTTTAAATTCTTTGCTGGAGAAATTATTTACTGTACCTTTAGTATTGGATTATATTATCTGAAGAGAGCACTGGACCCATCACTTTCCTATTATCACTTATTATTCAATGGCTAAGGACACTATAGATTTTTTGAGGAAATATTTCAACCTAATTTGTTTGTTTAGTTCGTACTCACACACTCATACATTCACTGAGCCTTGAACTCTTAACTTTTCTTTGAAAAGTAAGGACTTGGTAACGCTGAGCCACTGACTTGTTGGTAGCATGAGTAGCTTAGCTAATTGATTAAATGGAGTGATTTGGGTCAATCTTGTGCATTTTTTAGAAATTTTTGAGGATAACAGTGACTTCAACATCAAATTATAGGCCATATTTAAATAATGCAAACTTTTGAAAATTGGATGTATTTTAAAGGATGGTTAACAGTCAGACTGTATTATAGTGACTTAGAGGTCACGAGTTCAAAATCGAACATAATCTCTCAATATGAAAGTCCATGTCTAGAGCCTCCAATATTACTCAGCTAGCCATATATATACACTTTAATCTGCTTAAGTTGTGTCAAGCTTGAGTTGTGTTTGGTCCTATTATGTTTTAATTAATCGCTTTAATCTGCTTATGGCTTAAGTTTATTTGTTTAAATTTTAGGGGTCTAAGGGTACTTTAAAAATTATAGATATTATCAATATGGGCTATAAATTATAATAAACTGAATGGGCCATGCTTTGTGTCAACTTATTATGTTGGATCGTTATGTTACTATTTATAGGATAGGACCCAAAATGTTACAATTACAAGGTACAGAGCACCCAGAATATTAAGTCTCCAATTGAACTGGGCCTATTGTTAATGAGGCCCACAATTTGAATCTTCCTGGCGTATTAACACAGCGCACACATAAATAGAACCTAGTACAAATCCATCTGGCTTCGGTTGGTGCAATAATATATCATCAACATAATCCATAATTTTAACATTTTCTTAAATTAGTAATTGGTTAGTGTATATTTATATATACACATATAAATGTTTGTGCGTATATATATGTATTTGGATTAGGTAGTGTTGACAATTTTGAATTGAATTTGGCTTAACCTAATTTGGGTTAAAATTTTCCAAGCAAATCAGGTTGACTTTTAAAGTGCAACTAGTTGGTACATTGTCTCATGTGGTATGAGTTCTCATGGAGGTGAGTGATTTGGTGATATCTCAACAAAAGGAGTGTTGGAAGTATTTCAAAAGTGGGGGGCGACTATCATTTCAGTCAATCACGTATTAATATATAAGTAAAAGATAAATTGAGATTGATATAAATCTAACATATTTACTTCCGTATCAACACATAATTATTTGAATCAATAATCCCGAAATTATGTACTACTAAATAATTTATCGAATCGAATGCATTTCCATAGCTATCACAGCTGCGCGCTGCAGCTTTTCTTTGGAGCAAGAAACAAATTTGCCATAGAAAGGGACCACACCATTACTAGTACTAGCCCCCACTAACCACTTTGTCCAATCTACCGACGTGCACTATGGTGAAAGCCCATACCCAATTCTTCCCATTACCATATTATTATCCAATCAACCATTGATTTTTTTTTTTTTTCTTTTAATAGTTTGAACTTAAGTCACACAATCTCCTTAATTGATCGATGTCACTCTCATATTTTAAGTGTACTTTTATTCTCACACTTCGCGCACGCTTTCGCTTCTATTTATAACTTAATTTTGCCGCTTTCACACTTCCGCTCTCGAATTCGCTCTGACTCCCATTTTCACTTTATGTGACTTAAATTTGAACTATTCTGTAAAGTAATATATATATTTTTTCCTCCATGAATATCACGTCATCACGTTTGTCAAGATTTAGGTGATGAATAGTTGCATATGTGACAGGTTTTAAACTTCACATCATATCATGACTTAGAGAGAGTAATTAATGGAGAATTTATTTTAAGTTAAGGGAAAGCTTGCACTTTGCCATTGTAGGTGCAAAATTTCTCTCAACCAATAATGATTGAGGAAAATAAAACAACTCACTCAAAAAATAATAAAAATAAATAAGAACAGTGTATAGAGAAGCGTAAATTGCTTGATCCTTTTATTGGAGGTCTGAGCCCCTATTTATACACAAAAGGGTGGTCGAATTAAGGTAGGACTCGCATTGCTTGTCCTCCAATTCTTCCTATACAGAGTTTCTTTACAAATAGAGCTTTCCCTTTATATAACTTTCTATACGTATTACTTGCCTTGTACAGAACTTCCTATCATAGAATTCTCCTTTTATAACAAATCCTTCTACTGATAGGATTTGTTCACTCTTGGATAACTGGGCTGAATGTACCTTGAACCGGTTGGGCTTGACCAACGGGCTAGATGTTTAGCACGTTGGACTGATAATCTCTTAATTCGGGCTTTAATGGGATTAAAGACCAAATAACATTAGTATCGGGCTTATGAACAGTGATCTTGGACTGGCAGCGTTCTTAATTTAGGTTTGAGCGAAGTGGGCTTTATAAACTTCCCAAGGATAAGTTTATATTTATGATGACTTGGATTAGTCT